TGTAAAATTAATTGAATTATGAAATAAAAGTGAGGTACTCTCTAAGGACGCATTTGCCTGATCATATTGTTATAGGGGAAAGTCCTGTAACGCTGGACGGCACCTAACACTTGTATTATTTGGATAACTGATAACACGAACGATTCATTTTTACCAAAAATCTTACCACTGGGAGACTTCCCCCTAAAAATGAATCGCCCGCGTTTCGTTATCGAGATAATACCAGTGCCCGGCGGTAGGTGCCGTCCGGCGTTATGGAACTTGCCCCTATTGCTGAATGACGAAACGTAATTGCAACTAATTTTTCGAAATTACAAGTTCAAAAAAAACCAACGATCTAGATCATATCATGAAGAGGTCGGTTGGTATAGTGTTATGGAAATATGACATACAACTTTGAGGTTGTACAATTTACTCTCTAATATAATGGTGGACTGCCTCATTGGCCGAGTGGTCGCAAGTGCGACTGCCGGGCAATAGATCTCGGGTTTGATTCCCGGGTCGGGCAAAGTATTACTGGGTTTTTCAAAAATTCACAGTAGTAGCACGCAGTGTGGAATTGTGCCCGGTAAATGGCAATAGGCTCACCCCCTATTACATGGAACTCATAACATAAATAGTGAAAAGTGGGTGTTACATTGTACGGTTGCATAATGTACATCTCTGCCCCTTTGGAGATAAAAAGCGTGATGTTATGTTATGTTATAATGGTATTAAAACTGACGAAAAAAGCCGGCGAATTACCTACACCTAGGCAGTAAACAGTAGTTTGCGAACATTGACCATATCCTATATGAATTGCAATCAAAAATAGAATATATGCATTACCAGAAATTTGATGAGAATTAGAATTTAAACACTAAATGTATATATTTTTATATGTAGAGCAATATATTTATTTCGAATGACATATTAAATACGACACCGCAATGCGGAGATGGGAGTTATATGAAAATTTCACCAATCGTCGTGTAGAACGACTGCTTTGCCAATTCTTTTTTTTTCGCCCAAATGCCTCGATATTTCAAGTAGAAGATTTAACTTCAGCTTCATTACTTATGTCGTGTCGAAAAAAGCTGAACGGCTCATACGTATTAAGTATTTTTTCTTTTGTTTTTCTAAAATATTATCGAGAGCTAATATTTTCTGCTTCAGCAGCTGCTGCGCAAATCGTTCAGTAAAAATACTTAAGTCACATCTATATGTATAAGTAAAAATTGTACCTACATCAGCCCATTGGAAAAACTAAGTAACTGAATTTGCACGCTAGAATCTATAAAACAACTAAACATGTTTTGATTCGCCAACAGAGGAATTAATTCATATGAAAGATTTTGGTATGACAGACTTTATGCATTTATGTATTGTATTGGAAATCCAACAGTTACACATGGCAATCATAACATCACATCACGCCTTTTATTCCCGAAAGGGTAAGCAGAGGTGAACATTATGCCACTGTACAATGTAACACCCATTTTTCACTATTTATGTTATGTATGATTGATGATTATGATTCCGTGCTACTACTGAGATTTTTTTAAAACCCTGCTATACTTTTCCCGACCCGGGAATCGAACCCGAGACCCCTTGCCCGGCATTTGCGACCACTCGGCTAACGAGGCAGTCAAACATGGAATAGCATGGCAACCAAATAGTGGCAAAATAACATCAGAAAGCAAATTGAACCTATATGAAGTCAAGTTATTTTACTAGTTAAATACATAGATAGAGGTACCTACATAATAATTCTACCTATGAAACATTCAAGGTTTTTTCTTTTAACAGACCACTCATACACTGGAGACTGAGCGTCTTTTCATAAATTTTATATGCCAAAGCGAAAAGTGAAATATGGGAAATGTTATCATAAATTGTACTGAAACGGAGGAAAATGTTACATTAATATTTTACCGCATTCATTATAACTTTATATTATTATGATTAAACGGTTTATTGCTTTATTATTCGTATATTTTAATTTTATTTGCAAATTTCATTTCACAACGTTAATATATTTGCGGTTTGTTAATTTATTTGCCTACTTACCTACTTTTCATAAGATTTTTTACATATTTTCGCCTATTTCTATATAGGTCGATAAGTGAACCGATTTAATATTCGAATTACTTCCTACAACTAATCTATCATCACTCAAATATCAGTCTTAATCAAATATAAATATGATTCTAAATTCTAAACACTTTTTGATAGGTTCACGTACAGTTGTGGTCAAAACTGCACTATCAGATCCAAAAAACTATTGCATAGCAATGTAAGTGATACATGCATGCATACGTGTATTAGCACAACTCCTGCACGAGTAACCACGGACGAGTTACTGGTCACTTCAAGCTCCGGTTATTTCAAAACCCATTACAAACTGACTGAATTCACTTCTATTGAACCGTAAATTAACATCATTAGTATTTTTTGAAACACTTTTCAACAATTTCGAGGATTTTTTTTAAGGGGGGATAATCATCGAATGTCTGTGTTGGTGCCTCCCGCCTTTGTGAGGCCGGAGGAAGTGTCAGACTCTTACTAACTAAAAACTACCCCGTTCCTTCTCCTGCACGTCGCGCCGGAGCCCCGGTAACCCGTTAGGTTCTCCGCGACACAATTTCGAGGATAAGTCCGAAATAAATATTAAACTCCTTGATTGAAGGAAATATTTCGCACTGATGAATCGGCTTCCGAAAAACATATTTTGCGTTCCTTTTTTTGTTTCTTTTTCGGTTGTTATTTTTAATATTCAGTTTAAAACTAAATAACCAGTTATATTAATGATAGTAAAGAATTCTAATATATCAGGTTTAATTGTAAAAAACTTTATGCACATAAAAAAGCGAAATAATAGTTCCTAATTCCTATCATATCAATGTTTTCAGCGTATTTCACTAGAAATTTTAATTGAAATATACTCTTTTATAAAAATTAATTTGACTGAATACAAAATTTAAACAAAAAAATATAATAAACGAATGTTCCTACCTATTGTTGATATCAATATCACAGTTCATATATTTCCAGTTCATTGCAATGCATATTAATATTCTATTGTCCATCCTTTTATTAACTCGATCAGCTTGCTCCACAATATATTTATAAAAAAGTTAAAAAAATAGAATAAAAACAAAATAACGTCTGGGAACAATGAAAAGTTTTCTAGGAAATTCCAATGAACAAATGGATGTAATGCATTTGAATGAAAAGAAGAAAAGATACTGGTATTCATTTCTTTTACTTTCTAAAAATTTATTATATTGTACAGGAGCAAATTATGAGAGAATGTGGAATTAATCAGATATCATAAGTTTGAAATCACCAATATGGCAATGCATCTTGACCAAACGTGGTGATAGTAGTCATTCCTTCTTCGCGTGAGAAGTGGCGTTTGCCAAAGCATGGAACTGTTAGGTACAAAATGTTTTCGGCATACTCACGTAACTGTTTGATGCGGTCCTCGACTAGTTTCGTAACAGCGTGACAGCCACGTCACGTGTCGTGGAATGCTACTCATGAATATGAGCCTCTAGTATGGCTTGAAACTAGTCGAGTTCCTCGCCGAACAGTTACGTAAGTAAGCTGAAAACATAATAATTAATTCAGTAAGCTTTCTTGTGCATCAGTACGCACTCCTTAGCTTATTCCACTCCTTAGCAGTCTAAGGAGCGGAATTCTTTGCCAGAGTTTGTATTTCCTGAAGGGTGTATAACCTGGGTGTCTTCAAGGCCCGAGTGAATAGGTTGCTTATGGGACGACATGTCATCGTAGACCGCATCATCGCTTACCACCAGGCAAGATAATGGTCAAACGTATGCCCATTGAATATAAAAAAAATACAGAACTTACGTACTTAGCTTTTTTGTTGACGTTCAAAAGTGTCTTTCTGGTCTAATTTAAATAAATGATTTTGGTTTTGACTTACCATAATATTTAAACTAAGTAATTTCTTGTTATTTAGTAGGATTTTACGAAATATATTACCTTCTTTGAAATTCTTGTATCCAAATACACAAATAATTCTGATAAAGGTAACTTAAACGAACGAATCTACTTCGAGACGGTCCTTGGTAGAACGCAGTGGTTTTATAAATATTTCACACTGGATTTTGAATTGAAATCGGATTATTATTGTAATTAAGCTAGAAAATTTATTTAATTCGTTCATTTACTTTTATTAGGCAGCGGAGACGCTTATCTTTTGCTATCAGCACCAAAATGGACTGCGTTTGGGAAAATTAGTTTGTATTGTTAAAGATTATATGTTTGGTGCATTCAGTTTTAATTAAAAAAGAACAAAAGTTATTGCCGATCACGTGTTTCTATAACAATGACAACGTGGTTAGATAATAAAATATACATATTGATGTATCGTTTGTATTGAGCTCAATTTATTATCTATTCAGATTGTTTTTAACCCCTCGAGCGTCCTTATGAGCACCCGATCATAAGAAAAAATGCTCCATGCTGCTTTCTCTTTTATAAAATCTATTATTAATGTTTTGTTTTTATTTTGACTGTATTTTTTATTTCTATTGTAATGATCCTTGTTTTCGTGTGCCAATGGCCAAATAAATGCATTTTCTTTCTTTCTTTCTCCAAATGTCACGTGTGCACCCGTTGGATCATAAGGAACGCGGACGCTCGACGGGTTAATAATCCCGTCTAAAGTTCTAATTTCTTACATATTACATACATACATAACTTCACTACTGTCTCCCGTGAGGGTAGGCAAAGACTATGAAACGATTACTACGATACGACTAATTACTACGATATTATATATTCTTACATATCTTAGTTCACAATTAGTCCATCAATTTTTTCTTACATCATCATCTATGTTTACATTCACTAATAAAATGACCTACGAAAGAATGGTTCTTTGGTTTTGATTTGACTTTGACTTTGAAAACATACTTTTGACAAATGATTCTCTTTGTTAAGAATGTTTCACATATCAGTTAGTCTAACTCTTTCTCATTCTTTCCCAGATATTCGATGACCACTATCACTTCCACCACAATGCTATTGTGAAGCGGTCGATCACACCTGCGCACGAGCATCATGGCAAGCTAGAGGGAGACAACCGAGTCAGATGGGCGAGACAACAACGTGCCCTCTCAAGAAAGAAGAGAGATTTTCAAACTATACCAGATTCATATCATTCTACAGGTACGTCATTTTAACTTTCTTAAAATTTTACAATGCCTCCAACTGCGTGCCTATGGATACTGACTCTCCTTAAAATGAGGAAAGAGAAATAAGAGAGCATCTATCGCCGATATTATTGTGACTCCATAAAAACGTAGTGTTAACTTTATAAACCTCCAATGTAATAATGATTTATTCTGATTCGATATAATTAATCAGCAGCAAACAATTTTATTCCATGTCATTTTTACCTACCTATATTTTTAATTCATTCTTATATACTACAAAACGTTACAAGCAATAAAATAAACATAGCCATCATCGTCTAACCGACACACTATCTCAGATTCGCAAAATGAGCAGCCAAGCGTGCGACTTGTCGTGACGTTTATTTTTGTCGCAGCTAAAACGACGCCATCCGATGCGCAAGCGTCGGCCGCGCCTGCGCCGTCAGCGGCGTCGAAGCGCGACACTAATTCGAAGCGAGAGCTCCAACCGTCACGGGTGAAGGGACGGCCAAGAGCTGCAGACTCTAAGTTTCAACTCAACGACCCAAAGTGGCCTCACATGTGGTATCTAGTAAGTATGAGAACATAATCTTTTATTCGTATTTTTTAAATACACTCTAAAAACAAAAAGCTTTACATAGAGAGGAGTGGAAGGAGGGTAGGGAGGCCTTTGCCCTGCAGTGGGACGATCATGGCTGAAAATAAAAATAAAATCTAAAAATTAACTTGAGTACGATTCCTCTGAGTCAGTCATCACTTCAAAAACTAAACCATTAAGTTAAGGTCGTATAATAATTGTTCGTTACAAGGTAGAGAATTTTTAACTCAGCAGCAGTTATTTTATCACCAATCAAACAACGAGGCAATTATACTCCATATACAGAAGCAGGCCATTCATTGTAATTCCCTGTACTATGTCAATCAATCGTATCAGAGCCCTTTACATCTTACGTTTCCTTCGTAGTATTGCTCTAATTATATTCACAACTATAAAAGCGTCCCACTTTAGTCTGAGTGCCTAGCCCAGGGTTGACCTTGGGGAGTGGCAATCTGATTAAGTATGGCCTCTTAGTTTTATAGTACTTCTTTACTAGAATCTAAGTAATGGAAAATGGAATAGGAAAATCTGGAAATTTCCTTTTGGTAGTTATGTCTAGAAATAATCCTCGTTATTTGGCATTAACCCCGCACGGAACAACTCAATGCGTGATCCACTATTTTGTTTCGGGTCTGGGTGTCATGTGTATGTGAACTTATATGTTTTTAAACACACCCACTACACAGAAGAAAATTAGTTTTTTTTATACAGCCCTTACACAATTGGGAAAATATATAAATTTTATTTGTCTGTCCCATATTCCGTCTTAGTACTTATTGAAAAAAATGTGACGTAGTTGAAGAGACTATACTAAACGCTGTAAGATTTTTCTCGGTTGAAAACGTTTAGACGCTCAAGTTAACGTTCAAAAGTTAAATAAAATATTTGTTGAACACAACTATCTAAAACTACTTGGAAGTTCATTAAAGCGATGAAAGTTAATTTAAAGTATAAAAGGGCCTTTATTTACCGAGTGCTCATAGGGTAGCTTATACTTTTAGCTTATTAAAACTTTGTTGGTTCAACAAATTAGTATTTGGAATTAATTAGAACAGGAAAGATGAATTGCGTTTGAGCATGGAATAATTACTTCATAATTATCTTTTATTTTCTTATAATTTATTAACTCAAAAGAGGAAAATTCATATTGTACGTAAAATAACCGTTTTGTTTCCTGACGGTCTAGATAGGAGTGATTTGTAATAAGCATCTACTTTTGGATAATTTTGGCTCAGTGATACTAAAATATCGAGTCGAATTTCGAAGTCAACAGTCCTTATGTATTTTAACAAATCGCCCATATGAAAATTAGTCATAGAAAGACGATGTAAATGTGTGTAATGATTACACACGTGTTAAAATAACTGAGTAACAAAGTAAAGAGCAAAATTTTAATGAGTATTGGTGTCGTCGTGATTGCGAAGGTGCTATTCAATTAAGAACCGGAATATTGTCGGGGAATATCATCAAAGAGTTGTAAAGTTACACTGTGTAAGCATACGGTTCGCATCGTTTTTGTTTTTCTTTACCGAAGAGAGAGAAGTTTAATTTTCTTCGAGTAAAGTTTATACTTCATAACACTCTCCTTAAATATTGACTGGGGCTGAAGCCAAAAATTTGAGTTTTATTAAGATATTGAGGAAAATTTGCCTAATTCTTACATAAAATCTTCTTTAACTCCCGTAATGAGGGTCGAAATGTTTTTGATTTCGTATCTCTATACATTCTTGCCTATTACGAGGTTCTCAAGTGAATTAATTTGTATTACATCTGTTGTATAAAGCGTTGACCTCGAATTTGAGTTCAATATCTATTAAATTATCTGCAGTGTTCTAATTTTCTTCCTGATTTGAGTCTAGTTGCGTATTAGTCAGATGATTACCTAGTGACAATTGCTTATCCTACTATTGGGTTAAGATTTCTGGGCCAAGTACTAGCTGGACGTTTTCAAAAACGGTATGTATGTAGATACAGAACAATAGTTAACCTATTGATACACCAGTTATAATCTTTTTTATTTTTGAGGGGTGAAATCATAGAATAACATCTCCCGCTTGGGTGAGGCGGGAGGGAGTGTCAGTCTCTTACTGACTAAAAACCACCCCTTTCTTACTCCTGCACTTCGAGTCGGAGCCCAGCAACCGATAGTCCTCTGTAGTCTATAGTTACAACAGAATTTATTCAACGATCTCCGTCTAATCTTCTATGGACAAACAGACGCAATTTTACGTATGAATCCACACATGGCCTTTTCAATTTATATCGACAAATTGGAAAAGTCAATTCTGACCACAAAAAACGTTAATACACAGTACACACACACATTCGTCAATCATTTAACAGAAGTAATTTCAATTTAGAATTGTTTGCTTTTGTTCACTTTATTTTTCGACCAATCGAAAATATTTGATATAAAAACCAATTTTGTTTAGATACATACAGAGATGGACTGGGGGATGACTAAACTGGATTTGGAGGCGTAAATAAACTATCTAATAGTGCTATTTCGTTACACTAACAAAAGATATTCCCACAAATTGAATTAAAAAAATGTTAAAAATAATAATGATTGGAATTTTTCCATTCAATTTGTTTATATTTTCTTCTTAAATTGCAACCGGATCTCTAATTCAGTTTAGTTTACTATACTGGCAGTATTATTGTCAAAAAGTATGTAAAATATTTATAGCGTCAGCCTTGAAGTTTGACTTTGAAGGTTGTACCCAAAGACCATGTAAATTCGTCCCTGTATATATCAGTGAAACGATCCGTCAATACAAATTTCCAGTGGTCGCGCCGGCGTTGCGCCTGATATTACTTCGTTTTCATTCGGCCTGCCTCTGTTGCAAACACATTTCAACAAATTCGTTTTACTAACAATTTTGTAAATTAAAAAATCTTCGCTGATGGCTGCCGGTTGAGTAATTGGTTTTACCCGCGCGTCTCATTTTTGTGATACATTTCATGATTTTACGACCGCTGAAGATTAAGTGGGTCATTGGTTTTTATTTTATTACTTCTTGTTTGCAGACATTACTGCCAAATACTTTCATAAATCATCTACTAAATGATTATAAATGTAGATATTTTGTAAACGTACATTTCTTTTGCAAATTTTTTATTTATTGTTTCTTTACAGAACCGAGGAGGTGGTTTAGATATGAACGTGATACCGGCGTGGCGGGAAGGTATCACTGGCCGAGGGGTGGTCGTGACCATCCTTGACGACGGCCTTGAGACTGACCATCCTGATTTAGTAGCTAATTATGTGAGTACAAACGCTTTATTTTGATCTTGTAATAATATTGTCCTTTATTTCTATAGAGAGTTGCTCTATTAGTCACGACTTTATCCTATAAAGAAAGATGATACACGTGTATGTCCATTGCTCTCGATTCAAACACAAACTCGTAAGAAGTTGATCAGTTTTCCTCGTAAAACACGTTGCAGTCGTCTCTTACGACATTTCAAATGAATTCCTTTGAAATTGTCTCATTGCATGTTTTATGACGATGTTTTTGTGTCTTGTGCTATCAAATCATTGGTGGGCTATAAGAGCGAACTCAACGTATCTACGTTAGCAGGAAATGTTTGAAAAAACTTTGAATGAAATCGGAACGGGAACGGAGTAAAATGTGGGGGATCCACGTTTTCGCGATAAAGGGCGCGTAGAGTGACATCTGTGCTTCGAACAAAAGCTTCGGAGTTTCAAATTACACGATTCATCTCGCCCGGTGCGGCTTTAATTTCACTGTTGGCGTTCGGAAAAAAAAATGGGTAATTGGGTCGCGGTTGTTCTGAGGCGACTTTTTTGCGACGACCGTGACAACTTCACGTTGTATCGGGATTAGTAGATAGCAACAGATTAAGCTATACTACACTAGCCAAACACTTTAATCGATTGACAACTTTATTGCGAAATTATAACGTTGATTATCTTTTTGATGGGATGTATAAGGTTAATGTGCTGCGTGTATTATTTTGATACATAGTTCAGGAAAATTGAATTATAGGCTTAATCGGTGATATTAATTCGCATTGAATTATTAATGAACTATAATCTTAGGAGTTGAACTACCTATTGGATTTGGCAATTTGAGCTGTTGATTGGCGCATGAATTTGTAATCATGTAATTTTGTAACTAGATTCAATTTGTAGTCCTCTAATGTACATTAGTTATGGATGTTATTAACCCGTGGTATGTAGTGAAGCTTTACGCTAGATACAATGTCTTTTCTATTGTCTCATATACTGGCATTCAAATGGTTAATAAACTTGCATTTTCATGTCCTATTCAATATTTCCTAGATAATAATTCAGCAATACGTCTAATACATTTTCAAATTGTTAATCGTCATGTAATACAAAATCTTACTTAAGTATTTGTCGCATGAAAAAGTATCTACCTAAAATTTTAACAAAATGGTATTATAACTGCTTATGTCAATATATCACAATACTGTATGTATAGACGTCTATAAAAAAAAATATAAAGGACCAAGTATTATATAACAATGATGATACAAGTGCCAAAATTGACAATTTACTAAACGTTATTGTGTTTCCACCAGGACCCAATGGCGTCATACGATGTCAACTCCCACGACTCAGACCCTCAGCCGAGGTATGACATGATCGACTCCAACCGTCATGGAACCAGGTGTGCTGGAGAAGTGGCTGCCACTGCCAACAACTCCTTGTGTGCCGTGGGAGTTGCTTATGGGGCTAATGTTGGAGGTAAGCCATTTATTATAGTATTTTTTACTTGTTTTTGTAATTAGGTTGGAGTTTTTAATGGAATAAGAGTCGACGGATCACTTGATGGTAACCAATTGGCTCGCAACACCTGAGGAGTTTCAAGTACGTTATTGATTGTTTTATATATACTCAAAAGAACTTATATCTACCGAAAACGGATTAAATTCACTACATGTATATTTTAAAATTTAAACTTTTGTTATTTTAATTTAATTTAAACGGCTTTCAGATATTGCATGCCTTATAAATATTTCGTTCATTCTTATTTTATATCCATTAATACAAAGCCCTTCGGCATACATAAAGCCCATTATATTTCAGTTTATTAATACACGTGTGAAATAAAAACGAATACTATTATAAATTATTTTAATTACAACATTTTCATTTATAAGGACCACAACTTATTAGTTATGTGTGCTTATGTTATGGTGTTCTGAAGCATTGTTATACACGTACGTAAATAATAAAAATAATTATGTAAAATAAAATATAAAAATGTACATAACATCACACCTTTTATCGGACGATAGGCAGAGGTGCACACAGAAGTAACACCCACTTTTCACTATTTATGTTATGAGTCCCATGTAATAGGGGGTGAGCCTATTGCCATATACCGGGCACATTTCTAGACTCCGTGCTACTACTGAGATTTTTTTTTAAAAACCCTGTTATACTTTGCCCGACCCGGGAATCGAACCCGAGACCCCTTGCCCAGCAGTTGCACTTGCGACCACTTGGCCAACGAGGCAGTAAAAATATTCCTACATAAAAATATTCCTGAAAGGTTTCTTCAAGGTTCAAGTGAATAGGTTGCTTATGGGTCGACGTGCTCCACCGTAGACCGCATCATCATTTACCACTAGGCGAGATAGTAATCGAACGTCGGCAACAGTAGTCAAACGTCGTCCCATAAAATATAAAAATAAAACGTATTTTCTGATACATACACACAAGCTTTTAATGGGTGTAAAAGTGTGACTTACATGGGCTATTGTCCCACTAGTGGACGAGCACAGTCTACGGCACACAATACTCGACTAATGTGTTCTTAAAGAGCCCTCTTAAGATTTTCTCTTCTTGAGTTGTAGAGAATGAGAGTAATAATTGTGCATGAACGAGCCAAGTTTTTAGTCTTATTACTCTTTCTTTGTACAAAAAGTCTGATTGATTAATCTGAAAAAGATTAACGGTCTATGTATACCGTTATTTTCTGTATAGAAATACATACTTCAAAGTTAGATGCAACCATGACATATGATCTGGTTCTGTGGTCTTTTTCATTAAAGAAGTATTTAATATTTCCAGCACCCCTTCAAACAAATGGCATACCGATATATAGTCAAAATTAAAGTCAAAATTATTTATTTCAATTAGACCAGGAAGGCACTTTTGAACGTCAACAACAAAAATTTAGAAGTGAAGCTAGTTGCTCATAAACACTTTTGACTTTGACATAATTTTACGAAAGTCAATATCAGTTGGTTTTCCTATTTATTTGTTCGACACAAAGATGGTAGAACCTTCTTGGTTCGTGAGTGCTTAAATGCCTAGATAACAGGATCCCACTAAAATATAAAATCAGTCCGATTTCTATTGATTTAAATAGAAATTGTGTAAATAATATTCAAGAAAAAGACAGCAAGAGTTTATTCATATCATCTTCGTGTTGTTTAGAAAAAAATGTATACCATTCTAAGGATATAAAAGAAATATATGTATAAAAACTTGATAGTTCTTTCCAGAATTTATGTACAAGTCGTAAACCATTGTTCAAATTTTGCTGTCTGACTAAACATATTCAATGCGCAAGAAATATTTACTAAGATATATAGAGTGAATGTCTAGATTTACTGATTACACTTTTTATTTTGCTTATTTAGGCTTTTAGGAGACAGACTAGACTATATGCCTTACTTTACTTCGTAATTTTTGAAGTAAGTAGTAATAATCAACACCTGGATAAAATATATTATGTAGATATTTACCCAGGTTACTATTAGGATCAAAGATTAAGGTTCTCGTTTTTTATGGAATAAGCCGGTAAACGAGCAGACGGATCACTTGATGGTAAGCAATCGGTGCCGCCCATGGACAAAACCCCAGAGAAAAATAACTTTAAACACAAAATAACATATGGTACACGGTATGCTAATGGTACAAGTGCGTTATCGGCCTAGTGGAGTATAAGAAGTTAAGGATTGTTGGGGATTCGGAGATTTGGGAGATTGGTAATACCGCCGCTCCGGTAACCCCACTCACACGACGAAACACAACGCAAGTCAACTTCATGGCTCATTGATTTTCTATTTCTATGAGGTCGTAGTATCACTCCGGTCGAGCCAGCCCGGTCAGACCGAATTATGGCTCTCCGACACTTATTACTGCTAAGTTCAATGTTACCAATTTTTTATTACATTACCAACGCTTAGGTATGTAAAAATTATATTCATATTAGTATACATATCATCATCATCATCATCATCATCAACAGCTGGAAGACGTCCACTGCTGGACAAAGGCCTCCCCTTTGTCCAGTATACATATAGTAAGCAAATATATCGAATAGATTATTGAAACTGCATTAAACTTAAAACTGAAATAAATGCTATGATAAAAGTTGTAGGTACTGACAGGCATACAGAAATAAGATATTATGTATATACCAGAAGAAATATAAATAGAAATACACATTTATACAAGGCGCATAAACTTTATGACTTAGTTTAATCAAGCGTAGCATTTCTTACAATAGATACTTAAGAATAAGTGGTACTAACTGTGTGTGCCAAATGATCTCAAACAATTTTAGCTAAAATACTTTTTAGGTACTTTTTGTGCCGTCGACCTTAATTTCGTCAAACTTTATGTAGAGAAATATTACATTTCATTTTTACCATTACACACTGGAATAAAATAAACAATTCTATCTTACATTTTTTTTTATGTAGCATAAGCCGGTAAACGAGCAGACGGATCACCTGATGGTAAGCAATCGGCGCCGCCCATGGACACCTGGAACACCAGAAGCGTCACAAGTGCGTCACCGGCTTTTTGGGTATTAGGAGTTTGAGGATCGTTTGGGATTCAGGGATTGGGGAGATTGGGGAAGGGGAAGGTAATTGGTCCTCCGGTAACCTCACTCACACGACGAAACACAACGAAAGCGTTGCTTCACGTCGGTTTTCTGTGAGGCCGTGGTATCATTCCGGTCGGGCCGGCCCATTCTTGCCGAAGCATGGCTCTTTCACACTAATTTTTTTGGTTAGAGATGAAAAACAATACACGAATTCGTTAACCGCTTCAATAACTTTGTTATGTTTAATTTGGGTAGTCCTTAGTTTCTCACGTTAGTTTTCGTATAGTTTTAGGTAAATACATAAGACGATGATATAGACCCCTATTTAATAAAAAAAAAAATCGAATAACCGAAAATCCTACCAGTAAATCTCGCTCCGCTCGGGAAACTAATCCGAGTCCACTTGTTCCACAGTCGCAGTTGCAACTTCTTAATCAAAGATTGCATGACATATCACGTTCAACAGTCATTTTTTTATTATACCTTTGCCCTACACTACGACTTTCTCCTGTGTCGTGGATATGTTTACAAGTTCACATACACACGACTCCCAGACCCAAAACAACAAATTGTAAATCACATAAAGAGTTGCTCCGTGCGGGAATCGAACCGCTACACGTTGCGCGGCAGCCACACTAACCATTGTGTTAGACGAAGACAAAGTAAACAATATGTATTTTTCAAGTTTACTGTTACCTCGAGTCGGTTTTTTTATGTTCCCTCGTATGTTTTTATTGAGTTTTTTTTATATAAACAGATGGTATATAATGTGGGTTGTAAAATGCCAATAACATCGTGGATGCAAGTCGGTTTTGTGCTGAATATTAAGTTGGTAATATCATGCACAGATGAAGGTCTGTTTCGCTATTAAATTTTAGTTATTTTATTGTAGTTTATCTGCAACATGGGATGTTTTATGTTAGACTAATATTATATTGTTTATTTTTATTTATTTATATATTGGAGAGTTTACGTTTAAGAGTTTGTTTGTCTGAATAGGTCTTGATAGAATTTATACATTGATAATCTGAAAAAAGAAAGCAAGCTCGATCACCTATGACGCTTCCACTAACAAAACATTCGTCTAACGAAGTAATTAAAGATCATTGCCGCCATTTTAAACAGGTGACATAATATGACATTAATGACAGTGGTTTTGACACTCGCGCCTATGATGCAATTATCTATGGTTCTTCACTATAAACATCTGACTAAATAGGTTCGTTTTAATTGCATACTTAGTCAAATATTCCTTATTATTCGCTTACTACAGTTTTAAACCATTTTAGCAAAGTTAAAAAGTTTTAAATATGTTTATGCGAAATTTTTGCACAAATAAGAAAATTCAAACTTTTGTTTGTCAGCGGCGTGGTGATATGAAATGTTGTAGAATATGAAGTTATTAGTTTGCGTGGCTGCCACGAAGCATATTCGCTGGAGTTACTTGCTTCACTAACACTTTTAAACTTACACCTTTCTGCTTGCTTTGATATTACCTACAGTTTATCGTTGTCTTTGATAATAACTTTAGTTATGACCGTTTACGCGGCATACGTTTCATCCAAATATAAGTTTAAGTTTTAATGGATATTATTATAGGTAATCTCTGTGTATATAAACTATTTTTAACCGACTTCAAAAAAGGGGGAGGTTCTCAATTCAATTGTATTTTTTTAATGTTTGTTACTCGATTTCTCGAAGACGCCTGTACTGATTTCAAAAATATTTTTTTTGTTTGAAAGGGTACGCTTGTCATTTGGTCTCATTGTCATGGAGTCAGGATCTGATGATGGAATCCCAGGGAAACCGAGGGGAACTTTTAAAAATTATAGGGGCGACTAGTGCATTTGTAAATTTTTTCGTTAAGTATTTATTCTAAATTCTGTTTTTATTCACTTTTTAGACCTTAATATTAGATGGCACAGAAGTACCAAGTTTCATTAGTAGTTTGCATGAATTTGAAGTTCAAAGTTTGCGTGAAAACGCTCTTAACTCGTCGAGTACCGTATTTATAGACACAATTAAAGAACAATAGGTTGTGGTCACTGGTGACCGCTTGGTGTTTGACAGTTTAAATGCAGTTTCATAATACACGTGTCTGTCTGTCTGCGATGCTATCTGCAGTACAAACGTGTCTCACAACAGAAATTGGAGATTTATCATTGCAAATACTTTTGTTAGTTCTTCAATTTCATCAAAGTTGAATATTTATTTAGAGGTATGTTCTATTTTAATCCGTTTGTCTACTTAACCCGTCGAGCGTCCGCGTTCCTTATGATCCAACGGGTGCACACGTGACATTTGGAGAAAGAAAGAAAGAAAATGCATTTATTTGGCCATTAGCACACGAAAACAAGGATCATTTACAATAGAAATAAAACAAATACAGTCAAAATAAAAACAAAACATTAATAATAGATTTTATAAAAGAGAAAGCAGCATGGAGCATTTTTTCTTATGATCCACCGGGTGCTCATAAGGACGCTCGAGGGGTTAAGAGAAACCTTGTGGTTTATTAGTTTTTCTTGAAAGTAATGTCTATTTTTATCTAACTTCAATGTGTGTTAAAAGTATTACACATACAATATCTTTATTTGTTACGACTTTAAGTATAGTCATAAGGGCTACACTTACATGTATCTTTATACTGATTTCATCAACTTTAAGAGGCTTTAAAATTATAATTTAGCTTCGTGTGTACGATCAAAGGCTAGACGAAATTCCCTGAATTTCCGAGTCCCAGTTTCATGCGTTGATATGTCGCAGTGAGCGTTTATACCGTTATAAAACACTTTATGTTCATCACTTGGATGAAGAGACATCAAATGATGGAAGATTTTGTTTTTGATGTAGTTTATGGCTTCTTTGGTATGGGAATTGCGAGTGTAAAATGGCTGAGTATGCTGTAAATAAGTGGTCTCTCTTATTTATTTTTTTGTTGTGTTCTTCGGTAAACATTTGTTGCTATCTACCTCTAGATTCGTCGGTGAAGTTATAATTGTGATAGTCTTGATGTCATTATAGGTGCTTATCAATGTACTTTCGGTTGATATTTTGGGGAACAAAAAATGCGTACAATAATTTATATTATTTACCAAAGTTGAAGCATATCGTTTCACGTGATTAGAAGTATACAGTCGTGTGTTCCAAAACAAGGGGCCCTTGGGATCAGCTTAAATAAATTGTTGAAGCTGACACGCCCGGAACTCTAAATTAACACGAATTACTGCTCCAAACGGGTTAACAAAACATGTTTTTGTTGGGATTAACATTTATCTTTAGTCAGGGACTTTTATACTAATTATCCTTTTGTCTAAATGCCTGCACGTCCTTTTTGAATTTTGGAAAAATGCTGTGAAACTAAACTTTTTTCGGTTTCTAGTTTTATCTTGTCATTATAATGTTGGTAACGTTGTGATATTACGATATCTTACCAAGATTATTTGGTTACATTACATTACATTACATTACATACATTGGTACATAGTAGGGAAATAATCTCTTGTTTTTACTCCATGGGCTTAAAAACGTGTAAGAAGTTATGTTCTAATTTCTTATATCCTTGTTCACAGGAGTACGTATGCTGGACGGTGACGTCACAGATGCAGTGGAAGCTCGTTCATTGAGTCTGAACCCTCAGCATGTGGACATATACAGCGCATCCTGGGGACCAGATGATGATGGGAAGACTGTTGATGGACCTGGAGAACTGGCCACTAGGGCCTTCATTGAAGGAGTTACTAAGGTAAGTAACTTTCTCATTAAATGTGGCGTGACAGCCTAATATGAAGTCTTACGATGGATTGTCCAACTTAACCTAGTCTGGAAAAAGAGATTTTTTAATAATAGCACGATGCCTGAAATTATTGAACTTGGCAATAGGCCTAACTTCAATTAAATAAGAGTGTGGGCGTCGGGGATCGCGCCACGATCTCCAGCCACCGTAAGCGCGGGCCTGCGGACGGCGAGCATGGGTGGCTCGCCGCAAGACCAGAACCAGACCCGAGCGTACGGCGCGTCGCGTTCCGCGCGCGCCTCAAAGAGCCATCACGGATGGAGGCCAATAGGGCTGATGCCGATTCAGAGTCGCGGAGAACCTAACCGGTTACCGGGGCTCCGGCTCGAAGTGTAGGAGAAGTAACGGGGTGGTTTTTAGTCAGTAAGAGTCTGACACTCCCTTTCGCCTCACCCAGGCGGGAGAAGTAATTCGATGATTTAAAACCTTAAAAAAAAGTCACCGACAATGTGGTTTTTTTTCGAAAAAATCATGACATGACATGTTTTGAATAAAGTGAGAGACATTTTTCATTACACCAAACCAATATTTAATAGTTACCAATAAAAACCAAAACTTTGAGCGTCAGAATACGACAATCATTGATTGCTTAACGCGGGTTAATTAAATATCCTTTATTTTAAACACTCATTTCTTAAATACCCAGTAAACAGCACAAAAGCCCAGTGCGATCTGGATCTAATGTGATCTATTATGTTATAATTTGAACAATATATCACCTTTTATATATAATCTTTAGCAATGTAAACCAAGCACAGTAAATTGAAATAAGTGTAGGAGAGCCATGAGAATGGCCCGGCTCGACCAGACTGATACTACGGCCTCACAGAAAACCGTGAATCAATGCTAGTGATTCGTCGTATGAGTAAGGTTTCGAAGGCCCATTAGGGTGATGCCTAATTTTTATTTTAATGACCGTCTGGTAGATTATTTTAAATCATTAGACACGTATTTTTTTATTTTCTTACTGAAACGAATACTTTCGACGATATATTATTTGAAATGTCGTGTGACGTTACTTCTATGTACATTTTATACGTAGAAATGACGTTTTAGCCCCCACTCCTAAACTTTGATTCGTTTTATCTAAGTATTGTTTTATTATACGACAAAATAAAAAAATACGTGTATAATATTTTTTCATTACCTAACTTACGGAATAATTATATTTTTAATTTTCATACCCTGTCATCATCCCAATTGCGTTGCGCTAAATGGAAATTCTCAGGGACAAAACTTCTATAATGCGATCATCATTCATCACTTGGTATTCAGTGGTATTCTTAAATACCCTTTATCGTCAACAAACAGCACAAAAGCGTACAATATCTCCTTGTTCAGTCTGGATCTAATGTGACCTATTGACTGGTAATCTGAGCAATTTGTCTCGTCATTTACACGGTCGCTCTCGGCGATTCCGTTGGGCACTTCTCCTAAATAGTCGGTAATTTTGGCTTGTCATTAGAAGGTTGGAAATTGTTTCTGTTGATCTGAAGATATTAGGGTTTATGCAGAATTTCGGTGATTAAATTCGACTTATATAAAGATTTTAAAACCTTTCTCAGGTACATTTGTATTGTAACTTTCGTGAGACATACTAAAAATAAATTATTATGTTTTCGGCTTACAAACTAGTCGAGTTCCTCGTCAAATTATTACGTCAGTCAGCCCAAAACATAATAATTTACTTTCTCAGGCAATCATGAAAATTATAAAGGTTTTGTATGTGCTAATTGATTAAAAATAAAATTACACAAACCTTTTCTCTTTATTTTATTATCAAAACCAAAACAAAAGAGGTGCTTTCATAAAGATCCTCTGCAAATAACAAAAAAATCTGAAAGATAGTTTTACTAAGTATTAGATTTATTTTTACTAGTACAAAAAGATTGAAAAGAAATTGGAATTTAAACTCTTTGTAAATAGTTAGAAGGTCTTACATTCATTAAATGAATTAGTCTCTAGAGAAATTGTCAAAAAAATAATTAAGAAAAAATCTATGCTTTAGAAAAATAAATCATTTCAGTGATTTCTCTTACGGTGCCTGTTTTTAATTATGTGAATGCTATTAAGATCAAAAGTATTAATTTGAACGTAGGTAATACAACGTTTTTATGTTTCGAACGTATTTTATTTTTCTTTGAAAATCGTCTGTGGCGTCGCCGTTAATTAAAATTATTATTTTTCTTTTTTCCTTTGGTTTTTTGGTCTTTGATGAATAACGTACTTAATTAGTTTTTGCTTTTGTCGATTATTAATTATCACAACAAGTTGATAAAAAAAATGGGACAGTCATTTAAATTGTGGAACGAACAAAGAAAAAAATGTACTTTAGACGACAAAAAAGCCGAAAACAAAAGTAGGTGACGTAGTTATTACAAAGTCTAACCTCGATAGTAATGTTTCTAATAATAATGTTTCTCTGAAAATATTCCTGACACGTTTATATAACTTAAGTAAGCACTAAAATCAGTAAAACTTGATTTACATAAAACGTAAAGAGTCTTATTCACAAATATATCTCCCATTTACTGAATAACGAACATAATCAAGGAATAAATAAGACTGGAATTTAAACAACATCGTTTCTGGAGAGGAGGTGCTTCGAAAATAGTAGAATACAATTAAACAGTTTCCTAGATGGTTACCACACTTGTGACACCTCTGTATGACCACTTACAATCAGAAGAGCCGTTAATTTTGTTACTACTGATAGAAGAACAAAAAAAAAACAAAAAGCAACACTTTTCTCGGCAACTGTACCTAGACTTAATGATAAGTCTCAAACAACACTACCGATGTTAAATCATCAACTTTAAAACGTCAATTCTCACTGACACGTGACATTGAAACCTAAACGGTCAGTGTTAAGGTTACTTTCAGTATTTTGTAATTCTGTAACTAAGTTAGTGAAGGGCACCCGAGCCGTGCGACACTGTTAAAGCAATTTCTGTAATGATGCAATTATTTCTCTCGTTCTTTTATATTCTTTCTCCCTTGCTCTTTTCCCACACTGTATGTGTACCGCTGTTCATCGAGCTATGCAACCAGTATAACCTGACCGTTGAATATTTGGCAACTTCATTAAAAGCGAGACCATGATAAACTGGTTTTATATAGCTTCACATGCGTGTACGGTCAAGTGTTCACAGCACGATTTAAATAAAGTTGTTACCCTTTTCAACTCTAAATAGCTTGAAGGTTCTTGTTTATACACAACTAGGCGTGCGTTTAAAAGTTCCCCTTTATTACCTTTGCGGTTTTTTCGGGATTCGAATTTAAATAGGACGCGTGTGCTTGAGGAAGTCTTACCTTTTGCGCCTAATACACTTGCCTCGCGAGTTTTTATGGGACTTTTATTTAAAGTCTTGAGTGCGTTACGTTGAGGTAAATTGGATAGAAAACAGTTGAATGTTGTGCGTATGTAGCGTATGTTAAGTTTATAGGTGTAGTGCGCTAAAAAATACCTCCTCCTTGACGTCGGGAAAAATAGTTTCTTGAAATGTTTTACGCTATTCTCAAGGCTTTTAGTTCACTTGGGACAAGCCAGCCACAACCTCCCAAAACCACTCCAACTCCTTTAAGCCAGGATCTACAGTAGATACAATCATGAAAACACTGGAACACTGAAGTCCAGCGCGTCCCAGGGACATGAATAACTGTCTTGGTTTCTGCAACGAAGTGAATCAAAAGATATTATAAGAGGTAAAATCGATAGTTTCCAATTGTCAAGTTTGGCCTACAACATCTTTTAGGGAATAACGCCTTAATCTAATGCATAATTGAATCGATGGCTGTCAAAATTAGGCCTCCGGTAACCTCACACGACGAACACAACGCTAAATTGTTTCACGTCGGTTTTCTGTGAGGCCGATATCACTCCGGTCGAGTCGGCCCATTCGTGCCGAAGCATGGCTCTCCCAAAAAATTAATCGCTAACAAGGTATACACAATCATGTGCATAATAACCAGTTTATTATGGTCTCATTTTGTTTGATTTTTTGCACATTCGACGGTCAATTTATACTGGTTTGTGTAGTTTGATGTGTAGTCATGTAGGTACGTCGGGAATCGAGAATCTCATGACATCACGTCATTTCATGTTTACTAGTTTTAATTGGTGCATTTTCACCGGTTATTATTGGACGTTCGTGGTTTAAAGGTATGAAGGCGAATCTGTGATAAAATAAGATTACATTTGTACAATCGCTTACATATTTGGTGTACGTACAGGGTGTAACTAGTATTCTACTTGTATGTGGATATTTAGAGCAAATAATGTACTGAAAATTGAACTTGGTGGTCTACTATATTCTTTTCATTGTTCAGCATGGTTATCCAACGTTGAACGCAGTATTGTAACGTTTAATGTATATGTATAAAGTAAAGTAATACAATATATAATATAGCCGCTAGAGAGACACATCTGTTAAGCAAATTAATTGTTCAGCATATTCTATGCTTAAAGCACAAATAATAGACAAAAATTAATCGATAACGTTGTGCCACAGACCTACTAAGTTTTGATTTTTAGCTAACCGTGTAATCCCAAGTTGCATCCGCAGCTACCAATGAGGATGATGACAGGGTATGAAAATTAAGAATATAATCAGTCCGTAAGTTAGGTAATGGAAAATATTAGACACGTATTTTTCTATTTTGTCCTATTATAAAACAATACTTAGATAAAACGAATCAAAGTTTAGGAGTGGGGGCTAAAACGTCATTTCCTATTATAAAATGTACATAGAAGTGACGTCACGCAACATTTCAAATCAATATATCATCGACGGTATTCGTTTCTGTAAGAAAATAAAAAATACGTGTCTAATGTTTTTAAATAATCTACCAGACGGACATTAAAATAAAAATTAGTCGTCTACCCTATTATGTAATAAAGAATTATCTTTAAACGAAATCCATATTATTCGAAGCAGTACGATTTATTTGCTTTTCAATAACAAAACGCTTCTAAGCTGTCGTAACAAAATGTGGAACCAATGAACCGTATAAAGAGACGCTTGAATTTTTCAAGTATTATGCGATTCCGAGGTTTTTCTTCTAACACTTCGAAGTCAAAGGTTTTATTTGTAAAACTTTATAATTAACCCTTTTGATCGGTCCATTTACATAACGACATTTTATGTAAATGTATGCAGATGAGTGAATCAAGACTGAATGAGTAGACTAGTATCTATGTAATAAAATCATTTCAAAGTCATATAGGGAGGTAATAGTAAACTTTATGGGGTGGAATTTGATCATATGACTGCTGAAATATGGGCAAACGACAGTATAGTACAGCTACCTCAAGTTGTTAATACATTTTCAACTATAATCAAAAACAGTAAAGTTCAAATTAAATTGTAGTAATTTGAAAGGATAGTCTGCTTTGCTAGGACTTTGTTAGTATGAAACATCGTCTATCACGCAAAAATCCCGGTCTATAAAACACCTACGATTTGCAATGTATGTTCATTTTATACCGCAGTACGTCAGACCAATCACACGTTTTTCATATAAATACAAGCCTAGTGATTGGAATCAAAAATGTTGTATGATTTATTTCGAACGCCATGTTTGAAATTTTGAATATTGAACGAAAAAATAGTCTGTTTGCAGCCAATACGAGCGTGCCACAGGGAGTTCGGTATGAAAATGCTGGTTGAATTCAACGGCACCTTTTGTTCCAAACAATAATAGTTTGTTTTCAAAATACCATGGAAAAATTTTTGACACGTTGATGCGTTTTTTTATTCTTATGTACGAATAAAGTTGACTGGTAGGCGAGCCTACTTTTTTATTTTTTTTATTATGCATGTGTTGGTGAAGCTGTCGATATTGTTATACATGGCCAAAAAACGGCATTATTCTCTTTCAAATTCATACAAAATGATTTAAAATCTTAAAACCACGTTTTTGTTTGCACATTGAAAACAGTATTAAACCTATCGAACCATTTATTTTACCTCCAAATTATTGCGATAGTATTCAACCATTGAAATAAAAGTACACTAAATGCCACTGCTACCTATTATCTTAGCAGTAAGATACAAAATCAAATGTATCGTGAGTGCGTTTAATCTATCACAGTGGAATCTCAATGCTAAGAGGGACGTCTTGCCAAAAACGGCACGTAACGCCATCTTTCACGTTGGACATGAACTAACTCAGTTATGATAAATTTACCTGTCATGCGACATAAGTCATCGTTCCTTAAAATTGTGGTTATAGGGAATGAATATTGTATTTATGTACATTACGTGGCATTTTACACGACCGTGTATTTTAAACGAGGATTTCAATAGGTACCTAATATAATGAAACGATATATTAACTAGATTGTGTTGACGTGTTAATCCAAACATCAACATAACTATTTTACTTATCTACTTAAGATTATATACGACCTACTTATGTTTTATACATTATCCAGCGTTATGCTCATTAATACCACACCTTTAATACATTTAAGTAACTTTTTAGCGAGCGATTTTACGTCCCTTAGTATCTCCATTAATTCAGTATCTTAAATAACCTAGATACCCCCCAGTCTCCAAACGACATCGTATGAAAACCATGTCAACATTGACACGCAAAATAAGCACTTACGACCTAGACTAATGGTTCTATTTCCGATACAGGGTCGTAACGGCAAGGGTTCCATTTTCGTGTGGGCCTCAGGAAATGGCGGAAGGGAGCACGATAACTGCAACTGTGATGGGTATACCAATTCTATATGGACCCTGTCGATATCTTCGGCGACGGAGCGAGGGGAGGTGCCTTGGTACTCAGAGATGTGCAGTTCTACCCTCGCTGCTACGTACAGCAGCGGTGCTATTAATGAGAAACAGGTAAGAGATATCAGACTATTTTATTGTGATTTGGCGACTGGGCTTCACTCAGTTGTACAGTCACTTTTTTGTGCTTTTAGGCTTAATTCATTCTGGGAAGTGGAAACTATCGTTTTTTTCTTCTCCTCTTAAATATCTTCTGATTCACTTCGTTGCGAGAACCAAGAAAGTTATTTGTGTCCCTAGGACGCGAACTTCAGTGTTCCGGTGTTTTCCGGTTGTATCTACTGTAGATCCTGGCTTACAGAAGTTGCAGAGGTTTTGGGAGGCTGTGGCGAGCTTGTCCCATAAAAAAATGTCAGACTATTTTTATCAGATTATTATAAAAAAAACTTAAAAATATAAAAAGCAGTAGCACACCAGTGACGGGAGAAATCCAAGCTACCGGTCAGGGCTCGAGGAGATTATTAGTATTAGTGATTAGTCGATCGGGAGAAATATTAAATATTATTCATATTTATGCGTAGCACATAGCTCATCCAAAAAGTATGTCAATCTGTCGGTCCTTTTAATCCAGATGTTTTTTAAACAAATGTGATAAAGTTAATGACATCAACAACTCGCCAATCGTCCAAACTTGGACCATGGAACAATTATCGTGGCTTTACATGGATTTTCCCTCACCCTTATGAAGAGAGGAAAATACCTTTTCAGAATATTCTCCCCTGTACTGATCGCATGTAAATAAGACGTCTATACCAACTCACCCTTTGTCACATCTTGAGTGTTTCAGCTCAAGTAAAGGCTGGAAGGTCAAGCATGAATATTTGACGCTGAACTTAAAAATTTAAACATTAAAATGTCGTAACAACGGATTTTGAACTTAAGTTATGTAGTATTAAAATTCCGTTGGATATTTGTTCTTTATTTTAATTCAGTACCTAGTGAGCGATGGTAGTGACCTTTGTCCAGAAACCTTATTATTAGAACTTTAGGAGTTTATAAATAGAACTGTTATTCTCTTTATTAGGGATTTAAAGACTTGGCTTTTGTAATTTTGGACATCGAAACAGTTACATTGAAATACTATGAAGTTAATCTTTTGTTGGATAAATTTTCTCGGAACAGACACAAATATTGTTGAAAAATCATGTTCCTAGAATGGTATTTTGGACTTAATAATACCTTTCATAGCATCAATCCCTTGTGAGTAAGATAAATAATCGAGTTCTCTATTATTTGAAGTAGCTAATACCCAAAGACGGGCGTTTCATTAAGATAAATTGATGTCAGACGTCATTTGTCAAAATCACCAATGTCGTCTGAACGGTAACAGAAATAGATTATGGAAACCATCATTTTTGGTCAAAATTTGTCTGTCTACAGTTTAGAAGTCGGAAATTTGGAAAGCTAGCTATGAGACTTTAATATAACTTCGTTGTAACTTCGATTTTTATGCCAATTAACGTCTTGTTCCTTGTGCGTACTGCTAAGGAGTGGAATTCTTTGCCAGAGTCTGTGTTTCCTGAAAAATATAACCTAGGTGTCTTCAAGGCCCGAGTGAATAGTTTGTTTATCGGCAGATATGCTCCATCGTGGGCGCATCACCGCTTACTACCAGACGTGATAGTAGCCAAACATCGACCAATCAAATAAAAAAAAAATAGACATTTAATTTAAAAATTTTGTATTCAAACTATTTCTGTATAGTTTTTGCGAGTGGAGAACAAATAGTGATTAGATACATAATATTTAAAGAGATTAAAGTTAAAATTAGGAATAGCAATCTCGTTTGCAAGATTTTATTCCTACCAAATAAAAAGTAAAGTTGAGGTACGATGAACATTTCGTTTGATGTCTCCTATAACTGACAACTTACTTGGATGTCCAAGATCAATGACACTCGTTCTATTTCCAGCGTGTTTTTATTATCCCACTATGTTATGACTACACATCTCACTCTCGACGTATTTATTTATTTTCATCTGATTCGTATTTGATCTAAAAACATTATTAGCTTACCAATAGTAGGTGTAAAAATATTTTTTCTACAGCAGCTATAACTAGAGTTCCACGTAAAATATTCATTCACTCTCACAGATTTCGAAAAGAAACTCCCTATTATTATCTTTTTACCGAGAGGTTTTACCTTTTTACGTATTTGGACCCTCAATCCCACTTACGCTGAAAGTAGTTACCTTCGTCCCTACACGGCTTTACACAGGGTAGAAGTACCTACAACATCCTTTGCCCTTTTAGCACAGGAGGCGAGGTAAATAAAATTATGTCATTTCAATGTAAATTAAAACGCTGGTCTTGTTAATGTACACGTAGGTTCCCTGCGACTGTATACGTAGGTACACCAAAACAGGACACGCCCTCTCAATCAAAGTTGAACAAACTTTTGGGTCAAACCAAATTGTTCCGAATAGATAAACTATTGGGTTCGAATTGTAGCCATCCGATATTTATTCCACCGATACGTTATGTAGGCCCTTTTTTTCATATCAAGATCCGACGAATTCGTGCTAAGATAGGCCTTTTAAGAACCATTCGCATATCGAAATCGAACAAGTCTAAACGTCAAAACAAACTATTAAAGCAAACGATTTTTACAGTCAAGAATTCTGTATACATATTCAAATTACAACCTTTTCAAGTTGCCACAAGTATGCAAATTCGTTTGTATAATTTCGAAGTATTCATTCACATTATGAAAACCGTAACAATGAAAAGCGTGCTCAAGTTTTTTTATCAAGAGAATTTTCTTTCACAGTTCACGAATGCGGGCTGGCTAAATATTTCTCTTTGCCCATTACTGAGATCTAAAAGCACGTTGTTTAAAAAAACAGGATCACATTTTGTATGCAAACTTCATGGTTTTAAAAACAATACAGAGAATGTATAGGGTGTTTTTTATTCGGACAAAGTTAACACGACACAGTTGCTCCATTTTAGTGCGAAGAAATTTTGTATTCAAGTTCGTGTTATTTTTTAAAACGACCTGTGAATGTGATACGCCGCATGCGAGATTGCTTTTTCCTTTTCCCTTCAATTCCTCGTGTATTGTTATGCTATTATTTATAGAGGTGTATTTTATTTTTATGTTTTTCTTCAATGGAAAGGTTCCATAGAATGTGTATTTTGATGGATGTTATGTCCCAGTAGACAAAAGTTGGGAATATTTTGAGTATGTCAAGTGTTTGGTCCTTTGATACGAGAACCTTATTTTGAAATAAATGGCCACAAAATATGTATTTATTAGAAAAAGTGAAGCTTTTCTTATCTGTGTTGACTCTTTTTTATTTCTGCTTTACTTTTAGAAATTTTATTTATTTTATAGGCTATTAATTTTAGATTACAATATTAATTCATGAGGGTCCTCTAAAATCCTACCATTCTTGTCAATCAGGTGGTGACAACAGATCTGCATCACTCCTGCACAGCGGGACACACTGGCACATCTGCGTCTGCGCCGCTTGCTGCTGGCATCTGCGCTTTAGCTCTACAAGCCAACAGAGACCTCACCTGGAGAGATATGCAGCATATTGGTAAGTAATTTAAATATTTCTTCAATTGTTGCTTTAGAAAATTTTGACTATTGCAATATATTTTTGGGCTTTTCGTAAGTAAAATTTTCAGTAATAACTGAGGATATTGACTCCATTTGGATTCGAAGGTCCATTTGGATCCATGTCACCATAGGTCCATGCGCCACTGTAAACAACAATGACTGTTCAAAACTATCTCAATCAATGCCACACACATACCTATCTATCTACCTCTAATAAGTCCAGACACCATTAAAAATCGTTCAGCAATTCAATAAGGATACCAGACAACATTAGTCCAATCCAGGGCTGGATCGAGTTTCAATTAACCATGAATAGGGCAGATACCATTGTGTTACGAATCGATTATGGGTTTAACTCAGCCAAGATGCTTAGAACGGATTTATTTCTCACATAGCACCAGGGTTTCTAAGAATGGTACAAGCAGTTGTTTTTATTTACGTTAGTGCACATGTTAGTTGAGTTGGAGTTTACCTATGATAAAATAAATTATCTTTTGGATTGGTTGTTTATATTTTATGTTTAAAGTCTTGTATATCGATATTTAAGACACAATAGAAAACACATTGTGTCTCCCGTAGATCTACGCTCCGACATACTAGAGGTTAAGTTACATTTTAAAGTAAAATTGGTGATTTTCATTCATTAAGGTACCTACCTTATATGCTACAAATTTTTTTATTTACTTAGTCCTATGAGAAGGACTTCATAATCATAGCCATCGAAATCAACAAGCCCTAATTTGCCAATAATGAGGTCCAAAAACCCGAAACTCACATAAGACTATACTAGTAATAATCACAAAAGACTTTGAAAAAAACAGGAATTAATGTTACGTAATGTAGACGAAAACTGTTAACTTAGTCATACATCCAGCTAAACCCTTCTTAGATAAACAGTCCATTTTGTATATGACACATTAAATGTAGATTTACTTGGCGTTCATAAAATCGAAGGTTATGGCGAATAAATCCGTGATAAGTGTGACGGATTGAGTTATAACATTTTTATAGTCGAATTTTAGCGCCATATTGAAAAGTTCTTCAAAATGTAATAAGCGATTTTACATTACATTGAAGGCAATGGACCAGAAATGCTATTGACAGTTATTCAGATTTGGAATTGAATTGCTTTAAAACATGATGTATTCATTCGTGTGTTTACTTGGTGATTGGTGATTGGCATTCTTAGTTATGGAATTGTAAGAAACTGTCGACACAATTGGGTAGTTCCCAAGGTATCAAAATTAAAAATCTAATTAGTCTCTCAGTTAGATAATGAAAAAATATTTGACACATATTTTATTATTTTCTCCTAATAAATTGCAATACTTAGATAAAATGGCGCTAAGTTTAGGGAGGTCGTTACGTCATAACGTGCTACAAAATGTGACACGCTGTGACGTCACACGAAATTTCAAATTAATATATCGTGGAAAGTATTTAATTTTGTGAGAAAAGAAAAATACGTGTCTAAAGTTTTAAATTAATCTACCAGACGAACATTAAAATATAATTTAGGAAACTACCCTATCGGTTTACACATAATACGCGGCATAATGTGAACCTATGCCCTTAGAGTCCTAAAAATTTTACTACTTTAATTCTCAACTATAACTTGGACAGTTGTTTTATATGGAATAGAGGAAAACAAGCAGATGGATCACCTGATGGTAAAAGATCAGCGCCGCCCAGTTGATGTGACAATATAAAGCAGTGAAAAGCCGAGAATGTGTAATAATATCACAATAAAATCTAAAGTATGACGTTAAAGCTATGATCTGTGTGGGTTTTTGCGCAACCGCGGCAATAATTCTCACAATCCTCCAGTTGGCAATTTTCTTTACGACTCCTTTCTTATTTTTGGTCAACCTTCGTATTGGTTTCCGAGTGAAGTACAAATAAGTAATCCTCGTTATTTTTACTACTGCATCGTTAAACGGAAAAGGATCTACGACAATATTTTTTTCATATCCCCGTTCTGATACATTAGCCTACATTTTCTTTGGTTTTAGTATGAGTAGTAAAATGAATTGCTGGCATAAAAGGCTTCTAAACATCAGGTTCTGTCTTTTATTCCTGTATTACGAAGAGGTTTAGGGTTTGAGGGTATCTTCCTAAAAAATCAGATTAATGCCGGAATACTAAAACGTTACTCAATTTTAAGTCGTGCTTAAATATCGTGCTATCTCTGTCATTTTACAAAGAATTTGTGGTGACAGAACAATACTTAAGCGCGACTGAGTAGCGTTTGAGTATTGCGACATCAGTCATGTATTAAAATAAACAAAAGACCTCTGTACTTAAAATCATCCCTTTATAGCGAATATAGTTTCGATATATTTAAATAGTAAATATTCACTTTATGTCAAGATTTTTTTATAGGTATACGATACAGTTCTTTACAATCCTTATTACAATTCCTTTGCTTCATCTACATTTATAAATACAGTTATACATGTAGGTACATACAAATCAGTATATTTACACTTTATTATTTTAGAAAATTTGTAACACTACTTGTAATTTTTGTCATGAACTAAGTACGTTATTACGTAACTTAACCGTCTATTTTCGTCTCTTACAAGGAAAGAGTCTGTATCAAAAACCTATCTATTCGTGATTTTATTAGATTTCATTCGTCATACGAGAGGTAGGAAAAGGTTTCGCTATAAGATTACCGAGTCCCATTCAAATGTGACTAGATAATTATAGATATGTTATGTTACATGTTCTGCGAAAATATCTTAGGATCTTTAGGTTGTACGTACGAAAATAATGACGTCATATTTTGCTTTATTTCGGTGTTGAGGGTCTTAGAAATGTACATTGTTCTATATGATGTGGGTATGGTGTATTTATTAATTTTCACCAGTATTTATAAGACAAACATACGTTGCGCTTTTTGACATAATATACCTACCTATTGACTTCGATATAGTGCCCGGTATATGCAATAGGCTCACCCCCTATTACATGGGACTCATAACATAAATAGTGAAAAGTGGGTGTTACATTGTACGGTGGCATAATGTACACCTCTGCCTACCCCTTCTGGGATAAAAGGCGTGATGTTATGTTATGTTAATGATTGACTTCGATTTCCGGGTTGGGAAAATTATTACTGGGCCTGTGCCCAGTAATAATTTTCCCAGACTCTGTAGTCTAGTATTCTGCCAGATATATGGCAATAGGCTCGTCCCATGGGACTCATAAGATGTGGGTGTTACATTGTACAGTGGCATTAAGTGCTGTAATGTGCACTTCTGCCTACCCCTTCGGGGATAAACGGCTGGTTATGATTATTATAGCTATTAGTTAAATACTTACTAAACGTTTCCAAAAATAATGCTGCTCTCACGAATTTTAACCGGTATTAAAATAGTAAGTACCTTTATAATAATTAATGAAGCATTATTCCAAAACTGCATTAGCGGCTAAAATTTAATAACATTTGAACGTAATAACATAATTATATTAATGTTAATTAAGGTTTAATTTCTAAATAATGATTTTCCATTACCGGTAATGCAAATCTGATTGTGTTTTATATTTATGCATATGAATTAATGAAAATACATTATAAAGGTTATCTGTCCTAAATAAGTAAAATAAAAGGGACGGGTAAACATACAATGTCATACAAAGGCTCACAGGCTCACACGTTGGTCATCTACCGCCATCTAGTATGATCCTTACACACTTCTTAAGGTTCCATCACAGTCATGGGACTTAAAGTAATTGTGAAAACTATTCTTTTTAGGACATTTATTTCTTTATTCTGTTTATATGTCTGATAATTCAGAGTACTGCTTCTGAACGTATTTGGCAAAAGATCAAAAAATATTAGGTAAATTGTACTTAAAAGTAGCGGTAGTAAATAAAATACATTTTAACTGTGCTAGTACATTTCATGGAATCGGCATGCAATATTATATTTTGGTGAGGCTCACACGAGCAAAGCCACAGTCAAAATCCATGTAAATAAATATTGTATTTGCTCCATTTTATATAGTACACAGTACATCGTTATCATATATGTATGAGGCTTTATTCATAAGCTGATTCCAATGTTTTCCTCACATCATGTTATTCTGACGTGTCGTTTATGACGGTTTATCCGGATTCTGGAAAATCCGTCACCTATTCTGGAAAATTCGTCACTAATTCTGAAAAATTCGTCACTAATTCTCGAATTTAGTGGAATTCGTCCAAGGACGGGTATAAAGAGTTTCTATAAGTGTTTTTGTAGAACTTTTGTTTCGTAAGGAATTGAGTGTCGAAGTTTCTGGAATGTCCAAGACAAGTTAGACTTAGTAGAGTATTTACATAACGTTGTTTGCTAACTGTTTTTGTTTGACAAGCTATTTTGGTAAGAGTCTCTTAGCTTACGCAGTTACTTGTTACAGCCTCTATTGCTAATATAAATAGAAATGTATTATTCGATAAACACTTTTGTCCCTTCTATGATAAGGTATTTTTTACCTCCATTCAAACGTTGCGTAATAGTTTTTAGTTTACGATTTATGCAGGGAATTTGGATCTGCATAAGTAATAAATGGTTGAAAACTATTGGAACTTCATTTACCTGTGAGTTCTCGTGCAAACAGCTCATGTTGCTTATAAATAGGGTAGTATCCTAAATTTTATTTTAATTTGCGTCTAGAAGATTTAAAAAAAATGTTGCCCCACTCTAGGCTTTTCTCCTCTGTCGTGGGTACATTTACAAACATACAAGTTCACATACACATGACACCTAGACCCGTAACAACAATCTGTGGATCACACAAACAGTTGGTCCGTGAGGGAATCGAACCCGTGACACGTTGCACGGCAGCCGGTTGCCCAGCCACCGCACCAACCGTGCAGTCAATTTTAAACACGATTTTTTTTCTTTTCTTATAAATTTAAATACTTTCGACGATATATTCATTTGAAATATCGTGTGACGTCCCGATTTACATTTTATAGGGTAGCATGACGTAACGACTTCCCACTCCTAAACTTAACTCCGTTTTATCTAAGTATTGTTTTCTTATACGACAAAATAAAAAAAATGTGTGTAATATTTTTTCATTATCTAACTGATGGACTAATTACTTTTTTAATTTTCATACACTGTCTACTACCCTATTTATTTCTTAATTGTTTTTAGAGAGTTCTCTTTTCAAGTTCTTCCTAACATCCAAATACCAGTGTTTAAACTTAAATCTGCATTTTACAGTGTCATTATCCCCGAAGGCATTTAGCAATTAGCTGTTCAGTGTATCCTTAATGATCTATTTAGCGACAAACATTAAGCTGATTGGCCAACTTAGTCCTACGGAACACGTATTACCGCCCTTACCTACCCTTAGTTTAAGTTTTAATTGTAAACAGTATAATGATTATAGGGTCCAATATCGCTTAGAAATAGTTGGGTTACGAAGGTTTTGTTTTGAACTATCTTTGTAAACGATATTTGAAGTTTTATATGAGTTTTGTAGGGGTAGGGATATGCTATAAAGAGTCGTAGTCACGTGTCTCTAGTTGTGTGAGTACAAATGTACAGGATGTTCACTTTTACTGAGGATAGACTCAATCTGGTTTCCTATAGTACCTTTTTTGTATCTTGTAGATGTTACTGGTACTTATATTTTCGTGTAGGAATGAAATTATAGTTTTGATTTAAAGTGGTATTGGTGTAGTTTCCGGATAATTATACGGAACATTTCCTATACTTAAGAAATTATAGAGGTAGGACTTCTGGTCAAATTCGTATGTTAAATCACTCCTTGTGCAGTTTGACAATGAGTTATGGACGTTATGTAGGTGTTACGAAAATAGATAACCTTGATTTCCTCGTAGGTCACGTGTCGATTCACCCCTAATATATAAAGTTCATATAGGTACCTACATGTGATAGAGGCTAATGAACGAAATGTGTAAAGATAGAAATAGTCGCTTTAGCTTCTGCCACTTTTGGTTGAAATAACTGGCAAATAATGGGTGGAATATTTTATTAACATATTCATACGAAATAAATTATTATGTTGTCGGCTTACTCACGTAATTATTTGACGAGCAACTCGACTAGTTTCAAGCCATGCTAGAGGCTCATATTCATGAGCAGCAGTTCGCTACCCGCGACGCGGCGACTGTCGCGCTGCTACTGTAGCAGAGTGAGCCGAGTAAGTTGAGTAAGCCGAAAACATAGTAATTTATTTAGTATGTCTCACGAAAGTTACAATACAAATATTCATACGACATCGGCACATCAGAGGGTAGTGTGTACTGTGCCCTACAATTGTGGCTATTGGTAGTGGCAATTATGGCTCCTTTACTTTTAAGCCATCCATACCTTGTAAAACATTATGAACACACAAATAAAATAATCCTATTAATTCTATATATGCTGAGAAATGTATGTTTATTACACCTTCACGACAAAACAGTTGAAGGGATCAAGATGAAATTTGGAACAGGGGTAGATATTGATCAGAAAAAAAAACACATAGGCCAGGCGAAGCTGGCAAAAGCTAGTTACATATATTATATGAGAATACACCATCTAATAATCTCTTTTTTCCAACAGTGGTCCGAACAGCGCGACCTGAGCGTCTCAGCATTGGTGGCGAATGGCGAGTCAATGGGGTTGGTCGAAACGTCTCCCACTCCTTTGGCTATGGACTCTTGGACGCTGCAGGGATGGTCAGGCTGGCCAAGAGTTGGAGAACTGTTCCTCCACAACGAAGATGTGAACTGGCTGCTCCAAGGCCACAAAGACCGGTTCCACCTAGGTCTTCTGTTACATTGCAGGTGAGATTGAATTTTAAGTTGTAGGTGTTAGATTTGGAAATTGGTTCATTAGTTTGTTGGTTAAGTGGTGCATAACAGTTGAATTGATTAATTATTATGAGGTTAAAACAAGCTCAACAATTGCGTATTGATTGGTAACTCTGTCTGCTCCTTTGAGGAAAAAAGATGAGGTGCTATGTTAGGTTACTAATTATTCTCATCATCAATCATTCAAATCTAGTCATCATCAACAGCCTATAAATGCCCACTGCTGAGCAAAGCCTCTTCTCACATGGAGAAGGTTTGAGCATTAATCACCACGCTTGCTCAATGCGGCGATTACAAACTTATAATTAGAAATTATAAGCCCAGGTTTCCTCACGATGTTTTCCTTCACCGTTTATCAGTGGTGTCTGAATAATCTTAGAAAGTACATACATATAACATATCTACGCTAAACCGTTTAAAGAATGTAAATCGTTACTGTTTAACTGGATAAACAAGTTATGTTATGATGAAACAGAGAATCTACTGTTAAATAAAAATTAAATCTAAATTAGGCTGTTCCTATTTACAAAAACCTAGTTGCGTGTAATACAACCTTGCACACACCCTTTCACTCACAAAAACACATACACCCGCACACAAGCACACACGCACGCACACTCTCACACACATAGTCACACACACACACACACACACACACACACACACACACACACACACACCAACAGACTTATGATAATAACTAGACTTTCAATTATTAATTTTAACTATTGTAACGTATTACACTTGTATGATATAAAAGAGCGGCGCCTCCTGGTACAGGCATTTATATGCTTAAAAGGGGACGCCACCAACTGTGTAAAAAAACAAAAAAAAAAAAAAACTCGGAAAAAGTCACATTGGTACTTGCCGTTGGTAGGTTCGAACCCGCACCCTCATATATGAGAAGCGGGCGTCTTAAGCCTCCGGGCCACCACAATATTCAAATCTAGTATCAAAATGTATTCAAAACAGAAAAGGGTTATTCGTCACCGATTTTTTAGTTTGCAAACTAAAAAAAATTGTATTCACGTTTTTGAATACCAATAACAATTGTTTGTCATGTAAAGACATCAAACAAAATATTTGCTCGCAGTGACGCGTGAAAAAGGGATAACAAATAAATGCAGATTTGCAAATCAATGTGCGCATAACATACATACAGACATTGAACATGTTGTAGTGCATATATATTGGTATAATCGATGGTGAATGGTCGGGCGTGATCTCGTGACTGGAATGACATTACATAATGCGTTTTAATAGCTACAGCGTGAGGTAGAGATCTGCTTAGCAAAATGCAAAACCCACTTTTTTCACTTATTTTATGAGGGATGTGATTATAACCATCCGGCAAAGGTGCCGGATGTCTGGAAAGGTCCAGACGCCGAGCTATTACTGATAATGTAAGAAAAAGTCTCATACATTGCCCAATTAGAAAATCGAGAATGCAAGATCTGTTTTTATAATAACTATTGTAAGATACACTAAATTATTTCCTTTAGTAAATTTAGTCGCGGGTTACTTACGTGAGTATATTGAAAAAAGCTCTACTAGTTTCGAGCCACAGAGGGGTTCTTTACCATGAGCAGCGTGTGCAGTCGCAGCGATGACAGTAGGAGATAATGCGTTTCTCAGTATATTCTCGTGAGTAATCCGCGATTTTTAGTTAATGGAAGACTTCTTTCTTGGTAATCTCACTTCCTCTCAACAAGCACCAAAGCAGGCATTAAAATGACAAAGTCGCACAAATACTGACAAATCCAACTCCATGAGTAATACGGGTAACAAGCCACTGTCATAACACGTTCAAATAAATGACAGAAACCCGGATAAGCCAAAACAAACTCTTGTATAAACAACATAAAGACTGAAAACTCAAGAAATTTAATATAAATGCGAAACTTAGTACATTAACCGAAGCTTAATAGCCCGATAAGTTCAAAAACTTTGGTAATAATGATTTTTAATTGCTTTTTAAACGGCTATATTCTGAACATTCGCAATGACTGGTTCGTTTGTCGAAAGGTCGTAAGTGCGATTGCCGATCCAAAAATTCTCAGAATGTTGGGCATAGTGTATTATTGAGATGTATTATTTTTTAAATATGTTTCAGTAACTATACGGGGTCTGGAATTGTTTACTGTGAAGTGCGACTGCCGGGACAAGGGGTCTCGGGTTCGATTCCCGGGTCGGTCAAATTATTACTGGGTTTTTAAAAAATCTCAGTAGTAGCACGGAGTCTGAAAATGTGCCCGATGTATGGCAATAGGCCCCTATTACATGGGACTCATAACATAAATAGTGAAAAGTGGGTGTTACATTGTACAGTGACATTAGGTGCTGTAATGTGCAACGCTGCCTACGCCTTCGGGGATAAAAAGCGTGATGTTATGTTATGTATCACGGTATAATGGTACTGATAATATAACTGGTAATTTTCTAAACACTTAGGATTAAATGAGGATTAAAATAAGGGGTATTATAAAACTTGTAGGTTTTCTGGGAATACCACCATTTTTTCAGAGCTTTTTCCAGACCTTCTCAGTCTGTATTTACAACTGTACCTATGTATACTTACTAGACGATTTTAAGAAACTAAGTAAAGTAGCGAAGTTGCACGAAGGTAACACATAACTTATTCGCATTCATATTGTAAGTTGTGATGTCCAGATTTCCAATATTATTCAGAACATAGGGTATCATTAACAATTGGACTCTGTATAAAGGATATTATACAGTATGAAGCCTTTTAGTATCACTACCGTGGTACTGAGTTTATGCTAATGGCGTCGGAAAAGCGTTCACACACATTACCATATATAACCATCTGCATGTGTGCAGTAGTACATTCATTACACCTAGTGCCACAGTCATAATGAACTCAGTAAGTCAACTAATTTATAGTAAAAGTATTTATTTCAGTTGCACTATACAGACACGATTAAATCTTATACTATTATATAAAGCGGAGGAGTTTGCTTTTTGTTTGTTTGTTTGAACGCGCTAATCTCCGTAACTACAAGTCTGATTTGAATAATTCTTTTTGTGTTGAATAGCGCATTTATCGAGGATGGCTATAAGCTATAAAACATCACGCTACGACCAATAGGAGCTGAGCAGAGCGTGTGAAACCGCGCGGAAGTAGCTAGTTATTCATAAATTCGCTTGTCAGTGAATCTAGAAGCTCGTCGAAGTTGACTGCCCTTTAACGTTATCAAATTATCTTAGGTTTAATTTACCATTGGTTTAACTAGCTAGTATAACATAGTATGCAGATAGCGAAAATGTTTAGTAATATCACTAAGCCCCTGGTGTATGAATATGAACTCATTACCTCAATGGTTGTCAAATTTAGTCTGTGCACTTCTGCTTAGTACTCTTCCCCTCTTCTGGGAGTAAAAGCCATAATGTTATGTAAATCAACGAATGTATGGGACGTCATTAAAATATGTAGCACCCCAAAGTGTTGGGGCCATTTAGCTCCAAAACGTATCTTGAGCGAAATTCTCCAATTCCTAGGTTTTACGTCATTGTAAATTGTACCTTATATAAGCTTGGAGAAATGTGTTTTCAGCTTATTGCATTTTGAAACATCTCACGAATGAAGTGGTGTCTGCTACTCGGAATGGAGTTTTGCATCTGTGGAAGTAAAAAAGCAATACAAGATAGAAGGATTTCTTAAGATTTATCCTTTCCTTAGATGTTCTTCTAAAATATTCTTGAAACGTAATTTTTCAAACATATGGAACAAGATGGTTTAATCTCTTCTATCTTTTTATTGCATAGATTGTACAAAAAGTATAACAGAAAAGATTTAATCATTTTACCCAGCCAGTCTTTGACTTTTCTAATATCTGTTAAAAATAACATATTCATAAAGCCAGATATTACTCCATAGATGCGCCTTACTTAGGATTTCAAAACATATGTCGAAATACAATAGATTTGCTCCAGACACTACATGAACATACCTTATTCTATCAATTTTCCATAATCGGTTTTCAACCTTTTCATTTTGCAAAACAGTCCAAAATCTACTAACGCTAGTTAACTGATTGCCACACGTACAAATCTTCCTTTTAGCGAATATCTACCATTGTTCAGCATCCATTGACGACTTTCTTCTTTCACAGCTGGACGTGGGCGCTTGTCCAGGAGTAAACTACTTGGAACACGTGCAGGCACGCGTGTCACTGTCAGCTGCGAGACGAGGTGACCTCCGCATCGTTCTCACGTCTCCAGCTGGAACTAAAGTTACTCTGCTTGCACCGAGGTATGTGTCTTGTTGTAAATTGTATTCATATTCATTCATTCCAATTATATCTAAATACATCAACGCGACTCAATTTTTGAGCCACTACAAATTTTTAAAAATTTTAAAATTACAGAAATGGCACGATAGTTAAATACAGATTAAAATTGAGTAGTAGCCTTTCTACGTTAGTTAGTATTCGTACGTTACGTTACTTAAAATTATTTTAATTAACAATAACACTTATACTTCTTATTCTAAATCAAATTGCAATTAGTAAATACACTTATGTAGCACTTATGTAGCATAAGCATATGCTTATGCTACATAAGTGCAGTAAGCAGGTTAAGAACACATACATAACTTCACGCCTGTCTCCCATGGGGGTAGGCAGAGACTAAGGAACGCCAATTACTACGATTCTTCATACCTCTTTCGCTTCATTAACAGTCATCAATCTTTTCATGCATGCTCGTCGGTTAAGGGTACTTTTATTCAGGGTACTTTTAATATATCGCCAATCTGGTCACTATATGTCCGTCTAGGGCGCCCTCTACCGACGGCCCCATTCATATCCGCTCTGTATACTTCTTTCGTTACTATACTTTCATCCATCCTTTTTACATGTCCAAACCAGCGTAACATTCCCTTTTCAATCCTTGTCACTACATCGTCTTTCAATCCACACCTCTCTCTAATAACACTATTTTTTTCTCGATCACTCAATTTTAGTCCACACATACTTCTCAGAGCTCTCATTTCCACCGCATTAATCCTGCTTTCATGCTTCTTCTGCCACATCCATGATTCACTACCATACATAAGCGTTGGTGTCAATACACACTGCATTACAGCAAGTCGAGCTTTGCTGGAAGTATTACGTTGAATGGTTAAGAATTACGTTAGATTAAGTGTTAAGTAAGATATTTCTGCGTTTATTCCCGTTCTTCTAATCTAAAATCAATTTTACCGTTTTACTCACAAATTTATAATAGCTAATACTGTCGATTGCCGAGTTTAAATAACACAAAACACTTCTACATTAAAATAGGTTTACTAACTTCTTTATGAATAGTTTACCGTATACTATGACACAAACAAATTACTCTTTATATTTCTCAAACCACTAGTACATCTGGTGTGTCCGGTACAATACGGTACCTAAATGTCGTTGCTATGTAGATGGAGCTCGGCAGTAATTGAGGTATAATGGCTCTGGTACACAATGGCTCTCACATTGGCAGCTTTACAATGTCCATTGAGCGAACAAGTTATATAGATGTAGAAGTGTATTTCATTGGTTTAAAAGATCTTAAATTTGATGATAAAGGTATGAGAAAAATAATTAATATGAAGTCTTAAATTAATACTTATCATCATAATAATATCAGCTAGAAGACTGATGATGACTGATGTACATCGGTCTCCTCAAGTTACTTCCAGATCAGATAAATACTTAGGTAGTTTATTCAAAGTCAAATTTCAATTAGACCAGGAAGGCACTTTTGAACGTCAAAAACCTATTTAAATATTTAAAATGTGAGTCTGTCGGTCAATGAAGCTGTTTACTCGTTTCAAAGTGTAGATTTCTATAAAGAAGAACGACAAGAAAATCTATAGGTTCATTCATAGTCAAAGAACAAAATTAATTTGACAGAAAGATAAACTAAACTAAATCTATATTCAGTTATAGAATTTGACAAAATAAAACTCTTTTTAAAAGCAGCCATGTTTTATAATCTCACTGTGACGTTCAAAGTTAACCAACCCACTGTTTAGTAATGCACTGTACTCTCTCAAAGCTAATGCACGATGCTATGATGTGCTGTGACATGGAACAACGTGACCGCAAATACAAAATGTTCCATCTATTCAGTTTAGAATGGACGTGATAATGTATCACTAAATACCATCGTAACTGTGCCTACGTTCCCGTTCATCATATGAATAACGCAAAAATATTACCTCTATAATGAACCACTCCATTTACTTGAAATATTATCTAATTTGGAATACGCACACATTTGTATGCGAACAACACATACAATTTTAGCAATTTGTCAAATAATTCGAAACAGAATACGTTCTGACAATACGATGTATCGTGTACGGGGTGTTGTTAGTTAGTCAGTTTATTAAAGCCGACAAGACGCTAACTAGACGCTCACAGCGGGTGTAATTAGACAGTTAATTTTCCGGCAGGCCGCACGACTCGTCTCGCACTGGGTTCAGCTCGTGGCCTTTCATGTCCGTGCACATGTGGGGCGAGTCACCGCTCGGGCCCTGGCGGCTAGAAGTCACCAACGAGGGACGATTTATGGGTAAGCTAAACAAAATTACATACTGTATTCTGCAACAGGTGAACATTTTGACAAGGGAATGTAAAGAATGAAATATGTACGTCCTCCATACATACATCTTACTTCTTGTAGAGAATCATGAATAACAAAAAGTTTGCGTGTGATCCGCAAAGTTTTTATGACCACATTTATAACGAATGGCTTGTCACAAAACTCGGCGGTCTGGAAATTTTAAAGGCCCAGAAAGGCTTAACATGACTCTTAGAAACATTGTTCAGTCAGCTCAGCTACTTATCATTCTATTAAGTGAAAAGATTTCCAGTAGTTTTGGTAGCTGAATCAAAAAATGTGAATCAATATCTGTTTGTTCAATTCCACATCATAGGGCGAGCGACGTTGCAAGATTGGTCTTTAACTTTATATGGAACTAGCACGCCTGCAGCTAAAAACGATCCCATACCATTCCGGAATCCAATTATACGCAACAAGGGCAACGCAACGCGACCTATCGTGGTGCAAGCGGGCCGCAAAAACAATAGAGGGAAGCCCGTGCCGATCGTCCCCACTTATACCGTGGGACTAGTGAAGAGGAAAAAGAATAAGAATTCTAAAAATCCGAATAGGAACTCTCAAAAGTCAAAACAGAGTCGCCCGGCTACTCGGTCGCCGATTGAGAGTACGACGGCACGGGTGACGACGTCGACGGCGGCCGACCTGAGTCTAAACCTGCGTGCGGATCTGACGGACCCGCTGGCGGACGCGCGCGGTCGCAAGATGTCGAGCCTGTTCGAGCAGTATCCGAAGATACAGCGCATATACCCCGCGCCGCTACAAGCCCACGGTACTGCCTGCATGTCGTGTCCGTTCGTTTAGCCCCGGCCGTTTTATTTCGCCGCCTAGTTTGAACCTGCACGTCAATTACCTTTGTTCCAGACTCCACCGCTCTTTGCATGTCGTGTGTTTGCATTGTTTACATTTTATTTTGTAGCAGAACTTTATTTAATGAAACAGTTTCAATTGAGTTTAGTTTTCAATTAAGTAATTACTGTATCGTACATGATGTAGACAGTGAGGTATTATTACGTTTGTGTAAAATTTTCAGTTTATTTCTGTTGTTTTTCTTTTGTAGTCGTAACTGTCGATTAAGCAGCAATATTCTTTTCTCTGCTAGTTTATTACATTCACGCTTTATTGGTTTATATTTTATTTTTAGTAACTTGATTTGCTTTTATTGTAGAAAGCACAACTTCGACATTCTTAATGACAAGTTAACTAAAGTGTAATATTTCTCCAGCTGGTCCACTGACTCAATGGGAGTTGATATTCTACGGTACGGAGACGCCTCCTCAAGAGGAAGACGCGCCTCCTGAGACGAACTCGTTGAGTGGAGGAGCGGTGCCGGTCGCGGTTGCCGCTCCCGCAGAACCACCGGGGCCGGTGACGACGTGGAACGGCGCGAACGAGCCCCCTGAGTCAGTCGAGGAAGTGAGACAGAATGCACTCGACGACGACCTCACCCTCGTCTGGCATTCGCATACGGTGAGTTTGAATTCTGTTCGTTGTTTACTCTGTGCAAACAAATCCTTGATTCATATTTTGTGAGCTACGTTTGAATTGAAACAAAACGTGCTGCAGTTAGAGTAACAATAAGCTAGGTACGTCAAATGGAAAGTACTTAGAATTAATCATATAATTTAAATGGCATTCATTTGTGATTATTATAGGGTGTACAGGCGCTTTTAGTGATTAGTTATTTTGAAATTTAAGAGAGAATCATCCTGTATTGTAATATAAACTTGCCTATATTAGGATCTATAATCAAATATCAAAATACGTAGAACTCGACCACGTTTTCTTTACGGACCTGCCTCAATTACACACAGAACTCCTTTTAATGTTCCTGCACAGTTTTGCTAAAACAAAGAAGAGCCAATTTGTAATGGACTTTCTTTGTTATGATATAGACAAAGACATAAATATTTGTACATGTGCGTGATTTATAACAGTGTTTTAAAATGGTCTATTATAATTGTTAGATCAAAACATATGTCCCTGTATAAATAATTAGACAATAGGGGTATAAAACAATAATATAACTATTGATACGAACTGTTTTATTAGTATTAAGACAAAACGTTCGATGGACAAATGATTTAATGACCCTATCGGCATTCAGTACATATACACCAACTTCCAGCAGTGGTTTTGCCCACACTACTAATTATAAGAAGCCTATGAGTTATTCCAAACTATCTTTCTCTCTATCTGTGCCAATCTTTATTCAGATCCATTCAGTAGAGTTTGCATTAAAGAGCGACAAACATACATACATCCTCGCTTTGCATAATTCTATTATTGACTAGCTTCTGCTAGCGGTTTCATACGCTCCCAGGGGACAAAGTCGCCTATGTATTAGTTCGGACCATAATCTACCTCTGTTTTAAATTTGCCTGCCTCGTTGGCCGAGTGGTCGCAAGTGCGACTGCCGGGCAAGGGGTCTCGTGTTCGATTCCCGAGTCGGGCAAAGTATTACTGGGTTTTAAAAAAAATCTCAGTAGTAGCACGGAGTCTGGAAATGTGCCCGGTATATGGCAATAGGCTCACCCCCTATTACATGGGACTTATAACATAAATAGTGAAAAGTGGGTGTTACATTGTAGTGGCATTAAGTGCCGAAATGTGCCTACCCCTTCGGGGATAAAAAAAGGCGTGATGTTATGTTATGTTTTAAATTTCATCCTGGTGCCTTCAGCCATTTTGATGTGAATTAGTAACCAACATAAACACGAACACACAATCTCATATAATTTCGTTTTTATAATACCGGTTCGAGTTAAGTTCAAGCACTGCAGCGGGTAGCCTAACGTTCGATAAACTTATATTTGCGTTTGGTACAGTAACTGTGTCTAGGGATCGAGCCGCACAATTAAGTTTGTTTGGGTTTTGGGTTTGGTGTATATCTAGTAGGTTACATCCCCTACTATTTTTTTTTAATATTTTGAATGTACATAATTTCCACTTCTACAGTTTTATTACATGTATAGAAGATAGGATAGGTATACGTTTGCATACTTGACCAAAAGCCTCGTACAATTTCGTAAAAAATGTTCGAAATATAAAAGATAGCAATTGGTGCGAAAATTATGTGAATGAGGCATAAATCGTGAGGAAATTGAGCGCCGGGCAAACAAGTGCCCATAACTGTGGGCAAAAATGTTACCCAATTAAGTTGTTTATTTCGAAATTGTAATATATCCTCTTCCTGGTTTCGGTTTGTTATGACCATAAACTGTATGACGGGCGTGTCATAAACATTGTTATATGGTTTTGATATGACCTAATTACACACATAAGATGAGATCTTTTATTTTCTCGTAGTAGTAGGTCAAGGCGCATAATATTAACCCAGCGTCATGGGGATTGGGTCTGTGTGACCCTTCACATTTTATTTCGCTTGTAGTTCAGTTCCTATGCGTGCGACGTATATCTATATACATCTCAATATCTGGAGCTATTGAGTTGTTCTATGCATCGCAACTCCCTTATAACCCTTTTCACCCCCATGACACCGGGTTAATTGTAACAGCAGTTTTCACATACATGATCATAGGTAAACCTATTGACATACACCACTGATTCAGATTCCAGAAACGTTTAGTAATTGCATGGGTAATTACTAAAAATGTCTTATTCGGAAATAACGATAATGCTTTACCCGTTCTTAGAATGACTTAGAAGCGCAATTACCCTCCCCTTCCCCAATCTCTACAATCCCTGAATCCCCAACGATCCTCAAACTCCTAATCCCCAAAAAGCCGATAACGCACTTGTAACGCCTCTAGTGCTCCAGGTGTCAATGAGCGACGCCAATTGCTTACCATCAGGTGATTACGTGTGCTCGATTACCGGCTTATGCCATAAAAAAAATGGCATGACATATAGCTAGGATTTGAAGTGACAACCGACTTAATATGCATACTCAGAAACATTCCTTGCTCGATATTCTTATTAGCAATCTTTGATACAAAATTAAAATCTTTGATTCAAATACAAAATCTCGTACAAATATCCGGTAGGTACCCAACGACCGTATTCAGTTTGACTTGTTGTCAACATCTATGCGCTCCACTATGCACTGTTGGAACGCAGGGGAAAAATCAGATTTGCAAAATCGAATTCTCTAGTTTTCTACGGTTGCCTGCCTAGGTCTACATACGCTTCGGTCTAGATTTACCTCGGTATATTTAAACTGGATCGTTGGTAAAACGTTCGTATACTGGACCACAAAAAATAACCATGTTGGCAATGGAGAAATTGCTACTTAGAACGGATTCCTGAATTGTGCAGTAGAAGATCATGGCCATAGAAGTAAATGGCTTTTTGGTAAAAGCCATGCATGTAGTGTTCTATTCACTAGTGTGAATAGTTGGCATAAATCATCATCACATCTTCTTAAGTGTGCGAGAACCATGCTTTGGCATGAATGGGCCGCCTCGACCGGAATGATACCAGGGCCTCACAGAAAACCGACGTGAAACAATATTTGTATTGTGTATCGTCATGTGAGTTACCGGTTAATTACCCCCCTTCCCCAATCTCCCCAATCCCTGCATCCCAACAATCCTCAAATTCCTAATGCCCAAAATTTTAACGGCCTTGTAACGCCTCTGGTGTTTCAGGTGCCCATGGGCGATGCGATCGATTACCATTATGTAACCCGTCTAAAAGGTGTATCGAATATGCATCACGTTAGTATATACATTACTATACTACAGAACTTGGACAGGTGGTGGCTAAATCAATCTAACGTACGGAGAGGTAGCATTAGCTCGACTAATTGACTAATGCATCCTGCAGGCGATAGATTTGCTAACGCACCTGTGTTATCGGACTAATTTAACGGTCCAACCACCAGCCAATTAGCACATACATATATTTTTACAATCGCTGATTGGACAACAGCTTTGTTGAAAAAACCTTTAAGCCGCGTCCAACGTAGGTTTTGATTGCTGACATATTTTTTGCGTGAATTCTAGGTACCTACTGCTTTTTGTTTTAAATTTTTGGAAGCCATTTTTCCGGTTCGTTATTGTTCGCACTGACTTGGTAGACTGCAATTGAAACAAGGGTGTTGAATAGCATGTAGATATTATTTGTCCAGATTGATGAATTGACATTAATAGTTGAAAGGGTGATCCATCACATAAAAATAGTTACTCGTCTAGTTTGTACTGATTCGGGCACAGCGTGGATATAGCTGCCTCAACGTTTTGATTCCTAGAAATTGTTGATGAACTTGTGCAGTGATAGCAAAATGTTTCATAGAACTGACAGTTCTGTTTTGGATGAAAAATTTGAATTGAAAATAACTGTAATTCCATCGAAAGGTATTCATGGAAACTATATAGGTACTAGTAAACTATGTTCAATTCAACACGTTGAATAGCGTATTATAATACAATGCTTTTGCCCCTCATTGGGCTAGAATTCTAGATTTTGATATGGGAGTCTACTATGCACAAAGGGTCGATTGGAATACAAAGATTATTTAGGAACTTTCGATAAAAAATTCACTACAAGTAACTAATTTTCAACAGATAAATATGAAAATATCTCTAACTTTAAACCTAACACAATCCATAATTCTCATTTTACTACAATATTCTCAAAATATGTTCAATTCCTAAAAGATTTAGTGTACATTAGGGAAAATATAGCATAGGCCTTAGAAGATAAATGCCATTTTGCTGTAATAAAATGACTTGAACTATGAATTATTTGTTACGAAGATTAATGGGTCTAGGTCGGGAAAACTGTTTCAGTCTAGGCTTATCTTATCACGCGATACTAGAATTTGAGCTTTATAAATAAGTGGTTTATGTAGGTCTTACAGTTATAATAGAAATTGCTTAAAATTCGTAGATTGCGTCATTTTTGTAACATATGTATAACAGGTTTCATAGTTTGTGCAGACGAGAGACTTTTGTTTGATAAAGACAAAAAGTTATTTAAGTTTGTGTTTGTATATTTGAATAAAATATCGAAATAGCGACATACGGTGGTACCTAAAAAGTGCTGTCAATAAAATACGTAGAAAAATATTCTAATACTTAGGGATAAAATCAGATGTTAGGTACCTAACAACGCTTTATAAGAAGATGTCACAACACTTTATCTTATATCTTATACTATTATATAAAGCGGAAGAGTTAGTTTTTCTATTGTTTGTTTGAACGCGCTAATCTCCGTAACTACAAGTCTGATTTGAATAATATTTTTGTGTTGGATAGCGCATTTATCGAGGATGGCTATAGGCTATAAAACATTACGCTACGACCAATAGGAGCTGAGCAGAGCGTGTGAAACCGCGCGGAAGTAGCTAGTGCTTTATAAAGATTGCTGCTTTGTTTAGAGACATCATGTAGTCTCCGGAACAAATGTTAGCTTGAGTAAATGGACTCGAGTTAAGAGAGATTAAGAAGAATCGAATATCTATAGTTATAGTTTCCAACTAAAGACAATTTGACAAGGATTTGTTTGCCTACAGCTATCTTAAACAATTTTTTTACAGTTTTATAAATAAATAAAATACCTACCTACGTATAATAAGATGCACTTGATTAATATTTTTATGGGTGTCAATCAGACGAATATAAGAAATTGCTTTGATAACTTCTAAGCAGTATTTTTCTTGCAATGATGTACAAATTGTATAAGGAATGCATTAAGCTGAATCAAGCAACCGAACAGCAACTTAGTCGCCAATTCTACATACAAATAATCGCTCGTCTACCTGATATTTATTTGAAAATTCATATAAAATAGATATTTACAGGCTACAATACTTTTCAGAATAAATTGGAAATATTACGAAGGTATTACTGGGATTTAAAAAAAATTCTCAGTAGTAGCATGGAGTCTGGAATTGTGCCCGGTATATGGCAATAGGCTCACCCCCTATTACATGGGACTCATAACATAAATAGTGAAAAGTGGGTGTTATATTGTACAGTGGTACCTATAATGTGCACCTCTGCCTACTGATAAAAGGCGTGATGTTATGTTATGTTATGTTGCGAAGGTTTCGTGGTCGCTTGTTGCCAGTCGCTTAGAAATGACTTATTTGGGAGTCATTGGGGGAGGCCTATGTTCAGCAGTTGATATCTTGTTGCTGATATGATAACGATTGTTTAAATGTTGTATCATTTAAAGTAAAAAAACATATATTCATTAAGAATAATTTCTTGATTTTGCAATAGATATATGGGCTATGCTGAAGGCAAATTAAGGATTCGGTAAAGTTAAATGTTATCGAAAAATGTGTATAACATAGGTACCTAAATTCTTAATCCAATGTACGTAAGGTCCAGTTTCACTTGTACTTTGTTATTAAAATCGTAATCTAACATTAATAAAAGTATTAATTGAAAATCCTAAAATATTAAAATCAGTTAGCTAGAATGTTTAACTTACACAATTAATATTTAGTTCGTAAATATTATATTAATGAGATTTCTTTTTTAATTATTTATCGTTTTAATACCAGTACTTACTTATTAGAAACTTGACTTGAACTTATTAAAATGAGGGCTGTCGCATTCAAATTTAGAGAAAGTATAAATCAATGTATTTGCCAGTAAAATTTCGTTAGAGTGAGGTTACCAGATCCCCAATTACCCCCTTCCCCAATCTCCCTAACCCCTGAACAATCCTCAAATTCCTAATTCCCAAATGGTTAGTAACACACTTGTAACACCCCTGGTGTTTCAGGTGTCCATGGGCGGTGCTGATTGCTTACTATCAAGTGATCCGTCTGCTCGTTTACTAAAATATATATTGTATAAGGGCGGAGAACTTTAATTCACTTAGTAACATCGATAGCCCTCATTATATCTGTAAAGACACTGTATAACTTAGTTTTTGTCTAGATTCAAAGCTGCAGCGACAAATATCTAACCAATGTTTGTTTAATTTTTTACAATAGATAAGCGAAGACAGCCCCCCTGAGACAGTGGACCCCGGCAACGCGGGACAGTACACGGGCAACGCGTCGGGTTGCGCAACACACGCGCCACAGTCGCTCCACTGCCTAGGTTTGTGCCTATTCATCATCATGTTAATGTCAGCGGCCGACGCGTTGCGTATACAAACAAACTCCCTGAGTTCTCAACGCAGACAGCCCCATAGAGTAAGTAAGCGCGATTGTGAACTAACTGCTAGCATAAGGTTAGAGTTAAGCTGCGGAGGAACTCGGCCGCCTCGCGCGCCTGCTTGCGACGACTAACATCAACCTCTGCAACCGCGCTGGGTCCCTAGTACTCGTCGCGCCTAAGGCATTGTGATTTTAGTTAAATTTACCGGGTTTATATATAAGTACAAGCTGTTATTATTGATATGTTTGTTTTTAAGTTACAATTATGCTGTCCGATCACAATGTGGAGTCACGCCTGTCGCACTGATTTTTTCTGGCTTTAATTTTCAAAACGTCTCGACACGGCTATAGTACAAATCGTCAAAACCAATGGAAAATTCCAGATGTAACTAGAAATTATATTTAAACGAAGGTTTGTGGACTAGTTCCAAAAGGACATAGAACCACAGTATTTGCAATGCAGCTTTAGGGTAATAAAATAAATCAATGGCAGCTATATAGGTAGCCTACATCTAGACAGCTTTGACAGCATTGGACGTTGAATTCATTGGAAATTCCGTAATACTCTCAGTCTATTAGTTTAGTCCAAATCCTTGTAGGTTTCACAAATTACTTGTACAATAATCTGTATTCAGTTGGCGTTTACTAATTAATATAGATAGAAGCGGCTTAATTTATTACTTAAACCGCATCTGATTTTGCGGGCTCGAATTTGAATGTTACACAAACTGCGTCTCGATTTCCGTCCTTCTCTAAAATGATACTTTCATTATGTGTTTTGAATGTGTTCTAAGATTTGTAACGCATCTAATAACTGTACTTAGGCCAGGACCGATGGGAAATGTTTATGTGTAAAAAAGCCGTAAGAGTACATCTTCTATTATTCTCTATATAACTCTATTTAGTGACACCTCTGAGTGTCATTAATAGAATAAAGTACAGAAATGTGCTCTTAATAGGACAATCAAGTTGTTTGCTTACACACAGTTAACATCGATCTTAGCCTAAGTAGAAGTAGACATATTCTATAGACTCGATTTAGTATAAACAACTCAGCCACTCGATTTTTTTTTACTTTGTTCTTAATATATTGGGATAATTAATGATAACTAGGTAGCTTTTTCTATGCAACATAAGGCAACTGTATATTTTATTTTACATAGAAATAAAGTTTATTTTAAAGCCAGATTGAATCAGTGCTTAAGGCCATGCAAACTTATTATGTTAGAAATTGTTTACCAATAAATAGTTAGCTAATTATGCCGCGTTTCGGACCTAGATTTCGTACTTAAGATTTACGTACGTACTGTTCATTAAGGGTATATTGTACTAGTTAAGTAATATATATAATGTTATTAGGTGAAGTTCATATGTTATTACCGAATCACTTGCGTTGATATTCAAAAATTGGTACGTCTCTATTTGCTTTCAAACCAAAATATAAATGCTTTCAGATTTTTTGTATACTTTCGATCTATAGTGTAATAAAAGTCATATCAAAAACTTATTAATTTTACGTCTGAACTTCACTTAATAGCGTCGAATTGAAAAATCTGTCTACACGACAATCATCTATTTCGCACGCAGTCGTAACTAAATACTTGTAACTATAATTTTACTAGAAATTGTAAGTAAAGTTCATTTGTATAAACCATCAAAATAATTGGCAAAAAGATATTAATGAAGAACTAGTGAACAAGTGCAATTACGTATAATAATGTTTATTACGATATCAAGATGACAACGTCCATTTTTCACGAGTAATTGCATTGTGAGGTGTATGAGTGAATATTGTATAAAGTTCTCTAATTCAATAATATTGTATGTATGAAATAACTTAAGCCAAAATTACGTACTTATTTTTACAACTTGACCAATTATTTGAATCATTTTGATATTGATTTTTTAAAGTTTTTTTTTTATTTTTCATGTAGGCTTGTTCTTAAATCATGCTGGATTTCTATTGAAGTTTTATTTTCATTAAATACTTACGTGTAAAATTTCGTTGAAAATGATACCAAATGTTAGCGCATTTACTATATCTCTTCAAGTGTATAACATAAATTATTTATTAATGAAACTATTTAGATATATTATAATTAATAAAAAAATAATAATAGAATAAATTTGTTTTAGTATAAAAAATCGTATGATTTATATTTTACGGCATCGTTTTGGCGATATTTTTCATTGATTTGCAATTTATAAATATTTGCAGCTTTTCGCAGCTAAATTTTGTGTTATGTCGCACAATGTTGCCATGGAAAAATCGCCTTTACGTGTGTTTGAACAGGATACATATCTGTTATAATAAGTTTCACGTTTATATTGTCCTTATTCTGAGCAGCGTGTTTATCGTAGCATTTTAATGTCACGTTGCCAATCACATTATACCAATGTCAGAACAATTACACGTGGTCATAATGATTTCATTTTAAGGTTCTATTTAATTATATTAACTGTTGAAAGAGAAGCATTCGCTTTGTTATGTATGTACATATAGATAGACATTGTTTTCATTTTCATTTGTGATATTAATAAGCACAATATATGATTGTTATATCACTGCATAATATTGCATAATAATGCTTATTTTACTAGCTTGACACAATATTTATTGACTTGGAAGCAAAATAATCTGTTTTGAAATGAAGTTGCTTTGGGCATGGATAAAACTGTTTTATATCGTTTTATCTGTTCTTTGAAAGTTAGTGACATCTTTATTTAGTGTTTATGTGTCTGCAATAGTTATTGGTTAATGCTACGATAAACACAAGGCAACTAAATGTAGTTTTCATGCATATGGACGTAAATTGTAGGATTAACATAATTGCATATTGTGGTTGTGATCATAGCGAAGATTGCCAATCCATATAGCATAGAACAATATAATAATAATTGTAAATAATAAGTAGGTATGTATCGATATAAAATGGATTAAAAAAATTTGGAGACTTGTACAAATTTGCTCACAAAAACTGTAAATTGAAAACGACTGAACGTTCATGGTTTCTCATCGACTGGTAGTAAAATTATCGTAATTATAATGTAATACATAAGTATCTACAATACTTCTTCACTATCACATCTTAACAACTTCATTTTCTACCAACATAACAGTTAAATTAACTTGTAAATGTCCTTCGATGGGACTCGAATCGTTGCAAAGCCTCATTTTTTATAATAGCTGTGTAATATGTAAAATTGTTCACGGATTTCGATGATAAGTAGCAAGCCGAATGAACTGTATCTATTAATGTAAATGTTGAAGCATAATTTGTATATATTGAATCTAATGTGAACGGGAAATAATAAAAACAATCTTTTATTACAAAATATAATCAGGTTTTCATTTTAATTACGTTTTCGTTATAGTATCTTGTCTCTGATAGAATTATTATTAAGCAGTTAGTCGCATTCACGAGAAAACAAACTGTGTTTCATTAGTTTTATTTTTTTGTTTAATTTTTGTTTTATTACATTTTGTTTAGTGCATGCACGCTTCGCTTAGACTAAGCTTGCTTCGATCACCGCGGACCACGCTTTATTTCAGTGTCAATTTAATGTTGCACTAGCACTTTTTTGTCTTTTTAATTTCTTCTCATCGTTCACTCATTATGTCACTCGAAACTAAACTTTATTTTCTATCTGATTTCATTTAATTTTGTGCACGTCTTTGCATGTCTCTTCTATTGTTTAACATTGGTTTGTTTTCGTAAAATGTTTCGACAATAATGTATTACTTACTATGAACAAAATTATTTGAGATCAGTGACAAGATTCTATGTACCTTTCCTAAGTTTCCAAAACTTGCTTCCCTATCTGTGAACTGACATCGATACTCGCTCGGACGCGCATCAGCATCATTTGGCAAGAGAACGCAAGCTGCATGGACGCTGGAAAGGTGCTGGGTGGTGAAGGACTATCGCTCTGTTATTTCGTGTAATTAAATATCTTTGTTCTCTTTCTTCCACTAGAGTGCGCGAAGGGCTTGCATTTGTACTCCGGTCGATGCTACAAACGTTGTCCTGATGGTACGTATGCCAGTGAGATTACAATGGAGAGGAGCTCAAGAAGACGTAACCTAACTTATTTTTCCGAGGGGACGGTAATGAAAAGACAGGACGGTGGCGCCCCTCAGCATACGGCGTTGGAAGCTTTAGATATGGAGCCAGCCTCTAACGAGAGCGCGACTAAGCCCCCTCTCACGTGCCTTCCGTGTCATTACACATGCGCCACATGCGTGGGCCCTCACAACAATCAATGTTTGTCATGTTTAGACGACGCTCAACTCTTCAATTTAACCGACACCGAACCAAAATTCTACTGTTACCCAAACACGGTACTGTCTAAAATAAAGGACGCTGATTGGCATTACAGACTCAACGTTGCTCTTGTTGTTGTCTTATTTGTAGTCAGTTCTGCCTGTTTGTACTTCCTGCTGTCGTGTGTCACGAAGAGGTATTGTTGCGGCGGCTACTACAAACCAAATATAGTGTATAACAAATTGGCTGTAGATGATAAACTGCAGAGTGCGGCAGAGGTTGAAGAGGAGATTCATAAGGCTTTAAAGGATTATAGTGAGAGCGAATCTGAGGATGACTTGAATTTATAGCAATTGTTAACATTCCAACCGAAGTATTACGAACTCATCGATCGGGTAACCGATAGTGACTAGGAGATTAGGTACAGACCAGATGCAGGGCTCGTGTTGTGATATTTATCATTCAGTCGTCACAATGTTTAATGTTAGATAGTAAACGAGTATTAGTATTAGTTGAATGAGATTTTTAATTCGTACAAACGTTTTGAGTTTATTTTGAAATTATTCCAAAGAGCTGTAACAAACTCTTGAACTTTATTTTTGTCTATTTTTCTATATTTTCGGGATTTTCCTTTTCGTAGTACTTTATTAAATCGGTAATTGGTTTTTATGTCTTACTTTTGTAATTTTCTTTTCTTATTCTTTAATTTAGGTTATGAAGTATAATAAAATAGAGTATTAAAGAACATTCCATTTGAAAATGAGACATTCGAGGTCCTTGAAATTACACTTAATCCCCATAGCTTTTGGCAACATTGGGGTACTTTTATTATTTCTAAAAGGGGCTTACTCACCCTCTTGGAACATAGCGCTATTTTTCTATTTGCTCAAAATTCTACTCATTTCGTTGTTTTTAATGCTTTTTTTTAGTTTGTAAGTTTTGAGATTCACTCAGAGAGACTCAAAAGTAATTATATTTTTTTTAGTTTTATTCGATATCGTAATAAGAGTCGCATAATATTAGCTTAGGTTACTTGCTCACGATGCCATTCTTGTTTGTATGTGTGTGCCAATCCCTCGGTATTTGGTACAGTGTAAATATTTTTGTATGTAAATAAATGAGTTCCTATTTTCATTCGCTGTTTTATTAAAGTGCTTTTTTGTGTTTTTATTTTAACTTTATGCATGTACAACGGGTTTTGTAATGAGTTAACACGCTGTATGACTTGAGTAAGTATGAAAATGAAATTAGTGTTGAAATTGCATTTTGTGGTGGAAAAAATGGCTACAGCTTATTAAAGTGAAGAGAAAAGCATAGCAGTGTTGATAAAGAACTGGATATTTAATGTGAATATTTTTTAAACAAGAAAGAGATAGTAGATTTAACTGACCTTAACCTTGTACTTATAAATACAAGGTCACTTATAGGTAAAATAAAATTATCATTCAATTTTGACAGACATGCAAACAATTATTTTTTTACTTTTATCATTATTTAGTAGATTATTTTATGGGATAAACCGGTAACGAGCAGACGAATCAACTGATGTTGAGCAATCGGCGTAGCCCATGGACACCTGGAACACCAGAGGCGTTAAAAAAACTTTACCCCACACTAGAATTTTCTCCTGTGCCGTGGATGTGTTTACAAACATACAAGTTCACGTACACATGACACCCAGACCCGGAATAACAATTTATGGGTCATACAAAGAGTTGTTCCGTCGAACGCGACACGTCGCGCGGCAGCCAGTTGCCCAGCCACAGCGCCAACCGTGCAGTCAAATCAAATAAGAATCAAACAATGTAAACAACATGACCTACCATTATTATCATTTCGAAAGAAAAATTGACAATTATTTTTCTCAAACACCCATTTTATAAACGAAATAGTTTCACAGATTGACAGTTGCCATTCACCGCTTACTATGCGCATTATTATACACAACTGCTAATGAAATATGATACAATATCTACAAGAAAAGATGGCGATAGCAAGTATTTACACAGCACTTAAATCAGTAACTTTGAAAATAACGAAGGAGATATGATGTATTCTTATGGGTCCTCTAGTAACTCCCGCCCTTTATCTGATCCCTCGAAATAAACGTGTCCATGGGACGATCAATAAAGCTAATGTATTGGGTAATATAAGCCCTCTTGGATGTGGCAACAGCAGGCTACTTCATATGTGGAGACGGTACTTCGGACTGTGGCACAATGACACTTCTAGAGGACTCGAAATAAATAGTCTACTTGGTTCAATAACAATAATCTTTCAAAAGATATGATATGGTGTCCAATTTCAAAAATGCTAAGCATATTAATTAAAATTACTCCTGTGAACTGTTCGAGGAATGCTCTACTAATTTCGGGTTACAGCGGGACTCTTACTTGTGTGTTAAGTATGTGTCATATAGCAATTATAGAGATGCTTGCTCGTAATGTTAAGGTGGTGTACAATTTTTATTAGGTTTAAAAAGTCGTAGAGACTGTATCTGAGGTGTGTACGATCACCAACAATCTAATGCTGTATTGTAGCACTCTTTACTGGAGGTCCCTCGAAATAAATGTGTCCATGAGAAGATCAATAAAACTGCTATTGGGTAATATAAGCCCTCTTGTATGTGGCATTAGCAGGCTACTTCATATATGGAGACGGTACACAGGAGTGGTACAATGACATTTCTAGAGGACTTGTATTAATAGTTGGACCAAGTACATGAATATGGTAAGTGTATGACAGTGGACTGAATTAATTATAGCGCAGATTGCAGAAAAATGTTAAAAGGCGTTGCATAAAAATAAATACTACTGTAAAACAGGTCAGTGACGTAGAGTTAGGTACTTAAGGTTTTTGAGACAACACTGAACATATTGGCTTATTCATTATTTTTCGCAAACAAAAATCTGAAATAAAAAAAATCAATCAAATTAAAATGAAGTTTGATATATGTAAATGCTTTCCAATTATTATAAACCCTACTTGTATAGACTATGATTGAATTCTGTCGATCGTTCCTTATTACATATTTTATATAAAATCATGCGTTACATCTCTTGAAGGGCTACGCAGAGATGCACATTATCCCACTGTACAATATAACACCCAATTTTTACTATTTATGTTATGAGTCCCATATAATAGGGGGTGAGCCTATTGCCATATACCGGGCACGATTCCAGACTCCGTGCTACTGTTGATATTTTTATCAATTCAAAATTCTCTTCTAGTACGTACACAAAACTATATCAACGTTATAACCCCTAGTAGTCACAAGGTGTCTCGAGATTGATCCGAAAATACCAATAATTACATAGAGGGGAGAAAAAATAAATGTCTTTCTCCCCCTCACATATCGACTACGTTCAACACTTGTGCATCGATTCCCCATCACCCAAGTTCAATATTACTTCTATTGTCATCGAAATCGCCGAGAAATTCGTCATTTAATTTAATTGGATTTTGTTAGCCAAATAAATACAATATTACGCCTGTCTTTCAAGGTCTTTTTTTTTGTTATTTGAGTTCGAGTATTTATTATAGATAAATGTACATACAAATGATGTAACCGTTAGGTATAACTTAAGTGTGGGAGAGCCATGCTTCGTCACGTATGGGCCGGTTTGACCGGAGTGATACCACGGCCTCGCAGAAAACCGACGTGAAACAACGCTTGTTTTGTGTTTCGTCGTGGAAGTGATTACCGGAGGTTCAACTATCCTCCACCTTTCCCCAATCTATCCAATCCCTAAATCCCTTAGTAAATTATTGTAGTCCCCAAAAGGCTGGTAACGCACTTGTAACGCCTCTGGTTTTCCAGGTGTCTATGGGCGACGCCGATTGCTTACCATCATGTGATCCGTCTGCTCGTTTACCGGCTTATCACATAAAAACCTTCTTCAAGTTACTACCGCATCCAGAGACATTTAATAATTTAATTCAACAATTACTTAGTAACGATTTTGTTCCGAAATAATTGTTAGAGATTGGGTTAAGAAACCACTAACTGACTGAGAATGACAGTTAAAGCTACAAAGAAAATTAATTAAGGTAACTTTATCCGGTGCACCGCAGGCAAAGAGATCTCGGATCTCTATTAAAAGATGGACATAATCTTTCTTCAAAGATGAAGAAATAAAGAAAAATAGTAGCCAGTTCACTGTCTCATAAAATAGATTCCACCACTACGAAGTACTTAGACCTGGATGCATAAATCCTAAGCAATCATCAATACATACATAGTATAAAACAAAATCGCTATCCACCGTCTGTCTGTCCCTATGTATGCTTACATCTTTAAACCTACGCAACGGATTTTGATGCGTTTTTTTTAATAGATAGAGTGATTCTTGAGGAAGGTTTATATGTATAATACATTCATATTGCACCCGTGCGAAGCCGGGGCGGGTCGTTAGTTTTAAATAATTAAATTGCCAACATGATTGCTGGCCAAACGGTTATTAATATTACACGTAAACGTAAGTAGGTATGTGAAGTTATTTCGTAACTATCCAAAGACTTTTATTAAACAGGGGAAATGAACCCCAGCTCCTCAAGCGCACGTGCAGAGAAGTCACGTCTGCACCCTCTATTCCAACGAGCCAGTCATTAAAACAAAAAATAAAAGAAACACCAGCAAACTGCTCGCTTCTTTAGTTCTTTTTAATGTTGTGAAATTTACAAACTTCAACAACTTTCTCGAACTTAATTTCGATCTAATGAGCCTTAATTTTCCTTTCAGAAAGTTCAAAACTTTTTTGTATCAAAAAGTAGCACCGCTAATTGGATCCAATCTTTATGGGAGATGATAAGAGAAATATATTGGAAGGAAAAACCTAGAAACGTTGTATCGCACGTAACATAGAAGATATAATTAGATCAGATCTCTCCACGTCATTTCCGCATCATTTAGTACCGATAAATCGAATGAGGATCGGTTTCAAAGATCCCTCGCGTTCTAAGAACGTGTCAACCGGGTGACCTATTTTTTGTTACATAAAATCGTAGTAGTCTTTGGACGTACTTTTATATTTCTTCGGTTTAGTGACACTACGGGTCTTTAAATGTGACTCTATTATCTAAGTTAAGTTCTCTATATAGCTGTACAGTAGCTAAAAATTGATCATCATCATCATCAACAACAGCCTATAAATGGCCACTGCTGAGCAAAGCCTCTTCTCACACGGAGAAGGTTTGAGCATGAATCACCACGCTTGCTCAATGCGGGTTGGCGATTACAGACTTATAATTAGAAATTGTAAGCCCAGGTTTCCTCAGGGTGTTTTCCTTCACCGTTTGTCAGTGGTGTCTAGATAATCTTAGAAAGTACATATAACTCGGAAAATGTCACATTGGTACTTGCTGTTGGTAGGTTTCGAACCCGCACCCTCATGCATGAGAAGCGGGCCTCTTAACCTCCGGGCCACTACGGCATTTGACGAAAAATTAATGTATTCTACTTATTATGAGTAAGTATCAACTCATCAACTAGGTACCTATTTAGCTGTAAAGATGTCACAACATTACTTAAGACTGTTTATAGGTTTAAAACAGTGAACTTATTGTGAAATTATCATTAAATATAAATTTAAATACTGCATGTATTGATGATAGATATTAATGATGATGGATATTAATCATTCATAATTTATAAGTATATTTTAATAATTTCATTTTATTATATCATCATTAAAATACTGAATTTATTAATGAAACGAATTTGTTTACCTGTGTCTTTCAGTTCAGGTACGTATAAGTTATCTTATGAGCTGTAAAGTGCATTTTTTCTACAATAAATAAACAGCAAACATGTCAAAGCGTCACATCGTCGTCAACATGTATCACATCTCACTCAGTGTTAATGTTAACAAGTCGTAAAGTGTGTTTGTCCACTCCACTACCCCCGTTGAGTCATAAAACAGACCATGTGAACGAATCTTAAAGCCTTTTTATTCAGTCGGAGGCCTTTACGCGTTTTATAGACTTTCACTGGACAACTGGGGATAATAAACGAGTAAGCCTATCTTTTGGCACTGACGTATTTTCGAAAAACATTAAAGTTTACATAACATGACATGAAGTCACTCTTTAAATCCCTGAATGTGATAAAAGATGAGGTCTATGTAATACAA